TTTTAAATTGATCAATTTATATGCAAATTTATTTTCATGGATAGTACTTGTATTTGTAAAAATTATGTATAAATACCTTGATCAAAATATTTTTAATAATTTCAAACTTTAAATTTACGATTTTGCTATATATTAGACTTCGGGAGTAGACTTCACACAGTTTAAAGGTTACAAACATAATTTCTCTTACTTGAGTTAAATGGATTCATTTTTATGCAATTTTTTTTTCTTGGATGCCAAATGTTCTAATCTTATTTATGTATAATTTTTTTTATCAAAACAATTTCCTATAATTTTATAAATTAAATTTGAGTTGTGTTTAGGAATTAGACTTCATGATGAAGTCTAATACGCAGTAGACTTCATGAATAGACTTTAAACAGGGTAAAACAGACATTGTGGCTAGCGTTTTTTTCTTTGTTCATAAGGGCTTGGTTTGTAATTTTACATACCCAGAAAGACTAGTTTTGCTCTAAATGCAATATAGGGTCTACTTTTGCATTTCAAATCAAATTGTGAACTATATTTGGCAATTCGCTCTTATAAATACTATATATTGGTATTTTTCCTTTTCAAAATGGATTTTTTTTTTCTTTTTCTTAATAGATGTAACAAAAGAATTTAAATTATTTGTTTCCTGTTTTTTTTAATTACTTTTAATAGATATTTTTTTTCATTTTAATTATTTGTTATCTGTTTTTCTAATTTTTAGTTAATCTTATACATATTAATTTTTTTTATTTTTTTTATTCCGTAACCATAGAATACGACCCTAATCGAAATGCATACATTTGTCTCATACACTATGGGGATGGTGATTTTTATTTGTCTTTATTAAATTTAACCTTACTTAATTCATTTCAAAAGTGCAAGCATGCAATCTTCTTCACTAGTAGGAGAAAGAATGACACATGTTATGATCTTCATACTTCGAGAATTTGTTTTTTTTTTTTTTTCTGAGATAGATGTCGCAATTTTGTCAGTTATAAAAATCCTATGTATCGCAAAACTTTCAAAAACATGATTTTTAAATTAGAGAAATATAATCAAAGGGATTTGATGAATTTGTTTTGATGAATTTATGATTGAGAAATCTTGACTCTCTTTTATAGGGGTTCAAGTAACCCTATTACACGCAGTTATAGGAAATTTAGTTTACATAACATATTCCATATACAAATAGGATTTTATTTTATTACATTATTTTGATTTTATTATTTGTTTGGATAATATTAATTTGATGAATGGGAAACTTTTCTCTATTAGGAAATGACAAATATATTTTTATTTATTTTAACTGTAATAGATTAATTTTTTAAAAACAATTTCTTTTATCTAAATTTTTTATTATTATTGTTTTTTATTTTCTTTTTATTTAAGACATATGTCACGATCTTAACGGACATAACAGTAAAAGTGACACATGTCGCGATCTTATAAATTATAAAAATCCTATGTATCGCAACCACGTCGTGCGCATCCAAATTTCTATAATAAAAAATTGATGAATGAGAAACCTTTTTCTGTTTGGATATAACAAATATTATTTTTTCCTTTTTGATATAATATATTAAATTAAATTCGTTTTTTTTAATTAACATTTTTCTGGAATTCTTTTTTTTTTTTAAATTCTCTTTTTTTTCCTAAGACACATGTCACAATCTTAACAGACATAAACTTAAAAGTGACACATGTCGTGATCCTGAATTTTATAAAAATCCTACGTGTCGCAACTACGTCGTGCGCATCCAGCTTTATATAATAAGATACTAGGGCTAAACCCGCGCAATGCGCGGGTTATGACTATTACAAAATTTTGTCATTTATATCTAAATTTTTACATTTAGTTTTCAAATATATTTACGTAAATTTCTATATTGTTTCTTATTTTGTCTAAAATCAAATATTCAAAAGTGGTTTTTTAGAGCAAATAGTATAACATTTAAATTTGTTTTAAACTGCAATGCTTTTTATAAAAAGATAAAAATTACAAAATCATAACAAATTTTCCGAATAAACATACATTTGGGATTTAATAGAAACCTAAAAAAGCAAACCAAATTACTCGCACACACAATTCTCAGAAAACTATATATTGAAAAAAAAAATCCTTTTTGCTTTTCCTTTCATCTTCTTCAGACTTCACCATCCTGAGTGAAAGAAAAATCCAAACTTTTCCGGCCAAGGATCCCGACGTGGAAAATGCAACCAAACATAACTGAATTTTATAGAAGGTTGGTTTTGGTCTCTACAAAAATAGTAATTGAAAGTTTGTTCATAGTAATCACAGGATATGTTCTTGGACCGGCAAAGAATTGAAACACATACGCAAGTAGCGTGAGAAAGTAAAAGGCTTATTTATTTCACCTAGAACTTGAGTTTCTCCATTTCGTCTTCACAAAGCATCACATACAAAGTGAGACATGGAATATAAATTATCAAGTCAAAATTATATCTATGATTGAGTTGCTGATGGTTATATAATTAAAACTTAATTTATGTCTTACTAATAATTATTTTTTACAAAATATACTCTTTTTTTATATCTCAACTAAATTCGATTCTCTGTTAGAGAGTGAAGTACACGAAGGATATCACCGACCGGCCGTCCAGAGATTACATAACGCCCTACAAAGAAAATTCGTGTGTGCCTCTGTCAGACGTAAGGTTCCTTTATTAATCAATTGCAGTTTACACCAAATGATTTAATTTTCCAAACAGTATACAATTTGATAAAATTTGTGGATGACAATCACAATTTCATTCTTGTAGTTGTAGAGGACAAGGCGACAAAATATGATCAGAGGTTTTTGTACCTATCGGCCTTTCCAAGCAGTATTGGGCTTATTGAATTGAATCACTCAGAGCAAAATGGGCGCATAAATTTTCACAACTATGTAAATCGGTCCGGTCCAAACCGGGAGCGATCGGGTTTTATAAAAAAAGTATCATCAATCTCGATCGTCATTGTTCTCCCTCAGATCGAAGCGACAAAACAAAGAGGAAAATGGTAAATCGAGATCTGTCCAACAAGTTTGATCGGCTTTTTTACTGATAAATTCATTTCTTTAATGTTTTTTTTTCTGGTGAGAAGGCGGCGAAACCGATTGCGAGTCCGATACCGGTGGCGATGTACCCGACCTTGTCGGTGTTCACTCTAGGGAAGTCGACTCTCAGTCTCAGCTCTATTAGTTTTCGAATTGGATCAGTAATAGAAATTTTTGATTGCAGATTGGAGAAGAGAAGATTGAATCCAGGAATGTGTTTGTTACCTTCCCGCAATGTGAGAAACGGAGTTCTTTAACAGATACAACAGCTAGGCGATGGAAGGGTGCACCGGCGGCGCCGGCAGTTGATTTTTGTCTACGATTAGGGTTGGGGAGATGAGGCGGTTTGCGTGTTAGCCAAACGAAACGCTTTTAGTTTAAATTCGATGCATTTATTAATATTTATTTTATTCTTTTCTTTAGTAGAGTAGATGCCACGTGGCAATTCTTTAAAGAAAAAAAATGGCTGACGTGTCACTTTCCTAGAGAGTGATATCCTCTCATTATAATATAGACTAGGTATAGAAGCCTCGCGAACACGCAGGGTCATTTGTGATAACTTTTCTGTTTGATTTTATTTATATTTGTTAATTTGAAATATAATGGCTTTGTGTTAGCTTTTATTTATGTTTTCAGTTAATCCAACCACTTAAAAATATGATCAATTTGTTTTCTATTTTATTTTATTAAGATATTAATTATACACTTTATCTCAAGTTTTCTCTTTCTAAAATCTAGCATGCTTTATACTATGAGTATACATTTGAGTCGACGTTAGAATTTGTAAACACGGTGAAGAATCACATTTTCATTCAAAATATGATATAAAATAATATGTATAACTTTTTATATATTTGCTTTATTGCGGTAGCGTCTAAGCATGATGACCATGAATATTTTCTATTATTTTAGTTCTGTAAATATAAATTATATTTTTAAAACAAACACATCACAATCATTAAAATTTTCATGTTTTTCGTTACAATAAAATTTATATATAATAACTCAAATTCAATTTGTTAGCTTTCTACTATATTAATTAAATTATATTCTATATTTTTATAACTCTTAAACATATTAACACACTTTTAAATAGGATAGGTTTTTTTATACAACTTTTTGAATAAAAAGATACAATATATACAATATTTTGATTTAAATATTTCTTTAGTTTTTCTTCTTTTTATATTATACTTTCTTTAATTTTTAACATCAAATTATCAGATATTTTATAGCATTGATTAATTAATTTGTTTGTGTATTTTTTTTTCAGTTTTATTGATGATTAAAATAGAAATATATGTAAAAAAAATATGAATTAACATGTATTAAATATTTAAAAACAATTTAATTTTAAAATAATAAATATTTATAGTAGGGTTCATTAGGTGATGAGGTGGATAGTTTAAATGGAGAGAGAACTTCCTAAATATATATAAGATTTCCATTTCTTTTATTTTCTTTAAATTTATAACAGTTTGTAAAAAAAAAGAAATTTGTTTGTAGAAACCCACATTGGGTTGTGCAATGTAAAGTTAAAAATTATAAAATTATTAGAAAAGCTCTACACTTAAATTAATAATATATTTACTCTTAAAATATGCTAAAGAGCTCTATGTAGAGCTCTGTGATAAGGATATTCTAATATTAACCAATATATTATAGAAATGATAAATTGTATTGTATTGTGATGATCAGAGTAATGTACAGAGATGAGTTTATATACAGACTCTTAAGAGACGACAATGGAACGTAGATATTCTTTACAATAAGTAAGCGTGATATATGGGAGTGACTTGAGAGAGAGATCACAGGGATTGATTGTGTTGACTGAGTGATTCTCTCTGTAACATGCCCCCTCAAGATGGAGCCACTCTAGTGACTCCAATCTTGGACCGTGCTCTTTCAAAGTGAGACCGTGATAGTGGCTTTGTCAACGCATCGGCGAGCTGATCATGTGTTGAAACATGAGACTCGAAGAATGCCAGTTTGAACTTGGTTCTGTATGAAGTGGTAATTGAGAGCGACGTGCTTCATCCTTGAGTGAAAAACGGGATTGGCACATAGATAAGTTGCTCCCACATTGTCGCAATATATAACCGGAGTTAAGGGGAGACGTATACCGAGTTCTGTTAAGAGAAAGCAGATCCATCGAACTTCAGACGCAGTGTTAGCTACCGCTCTGTATTCCGCTTCAGTTGACAACCGAGCAATTGTTCGTTGCTTCTTGGATATCCAAGACACCGGATTACTGCCGAGATAGATGACATAAGCATTGGTGCAGACATAGTCAACCCTGTCACCTGCCCAATCAGCGTCGGAGAAGGCATGGAGGGACAATGGTGATCTAGCACGAAGAAAAATACCATGAGTTGCGGAGCCGGCCAAATAACGTAACACACGTTTAGCTGCTTGTAAGTGAGCATCAGTTGGTCGGTGCATGAATTGAGAGAGTCGGTTCACGGCGTAAGAGATATCCGGACGCGTGAACGCAAGATATTGGAGACTCCCAACGATGGATCGAAATTGAGTGGCATCAGCGAGTATTGTGCCACCATCAAGAGTCAATTTTTTATGAGTAGCAAGAGGCGTCATGACTGGTTTGGCATCAGTCATGTTTGTCTTCGCCAAGAGATCGAGGATGTACTTTCGTTGCATCATGTGTAAGCCTTGAGGTGTCCTAGTAGCTTCAATGCCGAGAAAATAGTGAAGATCTACTGGATCCTTGATAGAAAAATGATCAGCAAAGGAAGAGAGAACCTCTCGGACCTGCGAAAAATCACTCCCAGTAACAATTATATCATCGACATATACCAGAATGTAAGTGTAGTGATTGCCGTGACTCCTAATGAAAAGAGATGTATCCGCTAAAGAGTTAACAAATCCAATTTGGAGAAGGTATTGTTTGAGAGATGTGTACCACGCCCTAGGTGCTTGCTTAAGGCCATAAATAGGTTTGAGAAGTCGACACACATAATCAGGATGATCACGGTCAACAAACCCCGGAGGCTGAGACATATTCACCTCTTCTGTGAGATCGCTTTGGAGAAACGCGTTGTTGACATCGAATTGTTTGATGGGCCAAGACTTTTGAACCGCAATGTCAAGTACAATCCGGAGAGTGGTTGACTTAACCACGGGACTAAAAGTCTCCGAGTAATCAACACCTTGTTTCTGATAAAAACCGTTGGCAACAAGACGGGCCTTGTATCGTTCCAATTCACCAATTGAGAAATATTTTGTCGTATATACCCACCTGCATCCAACAACGTTCTGAGCCGCATTTGGAGGCACTAGATTCCACGTACAGTTTGCCATTTGAGCATCAAACTCAGTAGACATGGCACCTCTCCAACGTTTATCTTTTAAAGCCTGAGCTACGGTGGAGGGTTCCCTGGAAAGTGCCACAGCAAGACTGAATTTTTGATTGGGTTTGAGGATGTTGTTTTTGGCCCTAGTTTGCATTTGGTGGCGATTTTGAGGAGGTTCATTTGGCTGTGGTGGATTATTAGCTTGAGGTTGAGGTTGTATTTGAGTGGTGGTTGGTCTCACTCTACAATGACCAACGAAAGCTGAGCCCATTGGTTTAAGAGACATAGGGGATTGGAACCACGAAAGTGGAATAATCCTTCCTTGGTGTTTTGAGTTCAAAAGAATCGGATTTTAACAAACTTTTCAATCGACTTGGCATATGTTTTCAAGGGAATTTTCCAATAGTTCAATAGTGTTGTTTGTATAGAATTGCATTGTTCTTTTCTTTCATGTGTTCTCAACAAACACAAACCATTGCATCGTTTGATTTAGCTTAGAACTTTAAACTATATGATTGTGTAATGTGTGAAATCCAATCCCTTGTGGTTCGACCCCTAAATACTACAATTATATATTGTGCACTTGCAACATTAGTTGTCTTAGGGAATTATTACTTTTACTCATCTCATAGATGCGGCATCAAGTTTTTGGCGCCGTTGCCGGGGATTGCATCATGAACACTTGCATAGTCTTGTTTGAAACTAAGTCTAGATCTTTGTATTTTCGCATACTAACTTTTTCTTTTTCATTCTTGTGTTTATAGGTACTTAGAGATGAACCATAACACCAACATCCACTTTGGGAACCGGATGCCGATCCCACACGACCTCTGATATTACCTCTATTTTACCACTTTTTATACTGTTTTAGCATTGTTTTCTAATGGTTTTTGGCAGGTTTTCTATCTAAAAAGGTAGTTTTACTGTGTTTATAGTGTCTAGAGTCTAAACAGGTGAAATGATGCATTTTGGAGCAAAACCATAGGATTTGCACTTCAAGCCGCTCCATGCACAAGCACCAACTTTAAGAGGGCCCAGAAAAAGATCTACTCAATGGATTTCATCAAGACCAGTTCCCTGCGTGCTCTGATTGAGTTAACTTTCCAACGCAACTGGAATGGCCTAATTTGGATGAGTAGAAAAGGAGTTATAACCAAAAGAGTGAAGACTGTCCAGACGGCTCTATCGAGAACAGCGCCCAACCGCGCAGTCCGGCTGGCCGAGAACTATGTTCGCGCTCGGCCAAAGTCACATCCGTCCGACTGAAGTCTCGGCCAAAGTCCAAACCGACCGGCCGATCACGCAACACGACCCGGGAAACATTGTCCCGCGGTCGGCCAAGCACACCGTCACGCCACGCCGCGCACGACCAGCCGCGCGAGCCGGGAACAAGCCTCGCGGCCGCGCAACCCTCGCGTACCACGGCCGATGCATCCGTCCGAGCCGGGAAAGAACGTCCCACGTCCGGCCGAGAATTTCATCGGCCAAATCTCATCCGCTCGACCACGCCGGCCGACCGTGAATCCATCCGGCCACGACCGTTCCGACTCGGCCCACGACCCGATGTCCCGGCCGACCGTCCCAACGCCGCGGTCGACCCGAAGCCCGTTTTGAAGCCCAATTTCATATTTTCAAGCCCGGCTTAACCCTAAGCCGCCTCAAAAGACCTAGCACTATATATATATTTTTAGCCTCTTGTGAAAAGAGAGCCGCCCTTGTATTTCGATTTCCTACTCTAAGTTTTATTGCAATCATGTTTTCTTCATCTCTATGTGTGTTTGCTTTGATCATGTCTGAGTAATCCACTAGTTAGGTTGCTAGGGTTACTATTCAATGAGTTGCTTGCATGATCTTTGATTTCAATGATTAGCTAGGGATTATATTAGAGTCTTTGTCTCGTCTTGTGCACTTAACTAATGCTGATTGCTTTACCGCGCATCTAGTAATCCGATCTTAGGTTGATTTGAGCCTCGACAGTGTGTATCATTCGCCGGACATATTCTTTGACAAGCTAGGTTTCTTAGACTGCGAAAGTTGATCTACTATATCTAGTGAACTGTATCAGAACCTATTCATTCTAAAGCTTGATTTAATCACCTAGGGACATACCAAAAGTTTAGCGACTAGGTAGATTAACAAAGGAGCCGGAGCCTCGAAAGTGGAATGGTTTTATATTCGTGATCTGTGTTCTAGACGGTTCTTAATATCCCAATATCCCTAATCAATTCATCTATCATTGTTTCATTGATCATTGCTTGCTTCTCTGCGATAGCCCCTATGACCTAGCGCTTTTCCTTTATTGATTTACAACCTCGTTATACTTGCTAGTTCGGTTCACCATTACAACCTCAATCATACTTTTGTTTTAGCTTGATCCAAAATCCATAGTTTCAAAGTGTACTCAATAGCCAGTCCTTGTGTTCGATACCCATACTTCCGCGATCTGTGCACTTGCAGAGGTCTAGGAGTTTGGTAAAACCTGACTCCACATCAAGTTTTTGGCGCCGTTGCCGGGGACTGCAGCAGTACCTTTGGAACTCGACTAGGATCTAGTCTAGAACCTTTTCCTGTTTTACTTTTCTTTTGCTTTTGAATTTTCAGTTTTTGATTTCCTTTTCTTTGATTTTTGCTTTTGTTTTTGTTTTTCCCTTTTGATTTAACTTGTTTCCAAGACTCTTTTCAGGTGCATGACTAGGAGGTCCAACAAGGACAACCTAGTTGAACATCCAGAGATAGACAAGCTTGAGAAGCAACTTAGGAAGCAAAAGCCCAAGAGATGGCCGACGAAGCAGCTCGCGCTCACGCCGCTGAAGTGGCGCGCGCTCAAGAAGAAGGAAGAGATCCACCTCCTCCTCCTCCTAATCCACAAGACCCTGCTGGAGATGTGAATGCACAACCTCAAGCTGGAGCACCTACAATCGGAGACTATGACTCTGCCGATGCTTTCTTCATGGATAGAAACCCTATCCATCCACCACTTCCTGCAAGGAATGACTATGAGATCAAGCCTCAGATCATAGCATTGGTTAGACAGAACCAATTCAATGGACTTCCAGCTGAGCACCCTCTTGATCACATAGAAAACTTTGAAGAAATTTGCAGCACTACAAGATCCAATGGAGTCTCTGCTGACTACCTTAAGTGCAAGCTCTTTTCATTCTCTCTTGGCGACAAAGCTTCAAGATGGTTGAAGTCTCTGCCAGCTCACTCCATCACCACTTGGGATGAGTACAAGGCTGCATTCATCAACCACTTCTACACCAAGCAAAGATCAATTTCTGTAGGAACAAGATCTCCAACTTTCGCCAAGCCAACAATGAATCTTTCTATGAGGCGCTAGATCGATTCAAGGAGTACATTAGGGACTGCCCTAATCATGGTTTCAATGAGGGAAACCTATGGAACATCTTCTATCGTGGCATAGACCACAAGTACAAGCTTTCATTGGACACTGCAAGCAATGGAAACTTCATGACCAAGACTGTTGATGAAGCTAAGGTTCTTATTGAGAATCTTGCAGCTAGTGATTGTAACAACTGTCCTGATTATGACCGCTCAAGCCGCACCACTACTAGCTCCCCTGATTCTTTTCAAATGACTGAACTCAAGAACATGATGGCTCAAGTTCTTAAGGGACAGCTCAAGCATATCAATGCAATAGAAGGGATGAGTGATGCTAATGAAGACCCATCAAGAGAATGCATGGGAGATTTCTCTAATGAAGCCAATGAAGAAGATGTGAACTACATTGGAAACTATGGGAACAAGGGATACAATCCAAGCTATCGCCCAAACCCCAACATGTCTTATAGAAACCCCAATGTGGAGAATCCTCAAGACCAAGTGTATCCTCCAAGGTATCCACAACAACAAAGACCTCCTTACCAATCTCAAGGAAGTCAATTTCAGCCAAGGCAAGGATATGAGCAGAGATCATCATATCCGCCCAAGGAGCCATATGCTTCTTCACCAAATCAAGCTCCTCCAAACCAACAAGGTGGGAGATTTGAAGGAATCCTCCAACAGATCATGGATGGCCAGAAGAGAAACACTAAAGAGATGTATGAGAAGATGGACACTTTGTTCAGCAATCTCAACACCAAGTATGATGCTGTTGCCACTCATGTGAAGAAACTAGAGACTCAAGTCACTCAAACTATGGAAGCTGTTAAGAGACAGGAAGCTGAATCCAAGAAGTCCTTTTGCAACTCAGCCGCCATAGAAGAAAGATTTGAAGACCAAGTTCCAGAATGGATGCTTTCAAAACCTACTGTTGATTGCATGATTTGGCCTGAAGAGAATTACCCAGAGAGAGAGTCCAATCGAGCTAGAAAGAGAAGACTCTTCCCAAAGATTATCCCCAAGACAGATAACTCAGGAAAGTTTGCTGTGCCTTGTATCATCAAAGGTAACATTCTTGAGCAATCTTTGTGTGACACAGGAGCCAATGTGAACATCATGTCTAAGAGGATAGCTGACAAGATAGGCCTCACCAAGATAGAGCCATCATCCATCTCCATCAACTATGCTGATTCATTCTCACAAACCCCTATGGCTTTGTGCCTAATGTGATGGTGCAGATTGGAAATTGCTCTATCCCTACTGATTTCCAGATTGTGGAAATGAGAGAGAGTAGCCATAGACCTCTCATATTTGGAACCCCTTTCCTGTCTACTGTGGGTGCCATATTTGATTTCCCCAATCAAAGAATCTCTTTCAACAAGGTGAACAAGGGTATGTTCTTCCCTATGTGTTCAACAAAGAACTCTTTTGTTGACATGGTCCAAGAGGAGAAAGCTACTTTGAAGCCACCCCAAGAAGGAGAAACTGAAGAAACAATCAAGGAAGATCCCATTCCTAAGCCCAAGCAGCTTGCCAAACAAGCAAGGAGTAAGACTAAGGCCCCTACACCAAAACCGCCCAAGGGATCAACCAAGATTGAAGATGAGGCCAAGCCAAGAAGGAAGGTTAGAAAGCCTAGGTCTGGCCGCAACATGAAGCTTCTATTCCCAAAGGAGCTTATTGATGAGAATCTAGAAGGATTCAAGGAGAAAGTGACAAGAACTCTAAAGCTTTTTCCTAAGGCAGTAGTGCCAAGGGACATTCATGGAGAGATTGTCTATCCAGCTGTGAATCACCCACCAGATACTCATTGCAAGGAGAAAAGACTTGGAGGATCAAGGATGCCTCTTGTCTCCATCTTCTCCTGAGCGCCAAGCCTTACAGTCAAGCTAAAGACTTAAAACAAGCGCTGCATGGGAGGCAACCCATGAGGTACTTTTACTTTTCTTTCTTTAATTTTCTTAGTTTTTGTTTTGCTTTTGTGTTTTCTTTGTTTTAAGATAGGATAGAAGGAGAAAAAGGTGTGAAAACACAATCCGCGCCAAAACATTGGCCGCGGACGCGCAAAGTGATTTTGGCCGAGCAAATTTCCACCGTACGGTCGAGCCGGGAAGGAATGGCTGCTCGGCCGGATTGATCTATCGCGCGACAGAAACCGTTCGCGCGACGCACGAACAGGGAAAGAAACGGCCGCGATCGGCCGATTTTGTATCGGAACGGACCGACCGTGCCGGTCGATCCGGGAAACAAATCGGCCTCGGCCGAATTCTCTCGGCCAAACGAATTTGGCCGACCAAATCGCTCGACCGCGACAAAATCCATCGGCCATCGGCCCAAACTTTTCTCGGCCAAGGTAAGTCCCCTTTTCATTAATTCAAACCGGTTTTAACCAATCTAAACCAACTTAAACCGGTTTTCAATCAAAATTCGAATTTGAAAAGGAAAATTGATAGGATTAGATCTTATTTACTTCACTTTCCCTTGAAAACAACAAGAACCTCTCTTTCTTCTCCAAAACCCTAAACTCCATTAGAGGAACTCTAAGAGTTTTGATTTCAAAACTTTTACTGTTCATAACTCTAAATTGGAATTTACTTGCTCTTGCAACCTTATTCACTTTTCAACACACAAGGTATGTCTTCTAACTCTAATCCTATGTTTATGCAAGATCGAAAATTTCAATAAGTTTCATGTTTGGTCTAAACTCTTGTCTAAACTTGAAATTAGCATCCTTATTAGTCTTGTAATGAACTTAGCTAGGTGGAACCTAGGTGGTTTAGAGTTAATTTGAAGTTTAATTTCACAATTGAATAGTTTTTCACAAAACTTATTGGGCATTCCAAACCCCTTATTCAAAGGTGAAATTGCTTAGCATACTTCAATTCATTAGTTTATCTAGTGATTACTTGGATTAGAAACTCAATTTCTCTTGATTTGCTAAAAATTTCGATTTTAAGCACCATAATCTTGGGATGAACAGTAAAATCCGAAAATTAACTTTGAAAAAGTGAAATTTCCATTTTGTCTCTTTGATTCATGATTAAGCCTTGAGTTGTTCCATTATTCCATATCATTATTACAACTCAATTAGCTTATTCTTCTTTTGCATTAATCACAAACTCATATTTCTTCCCAAGAATTTGCTCTTGTAGGTACACAATGGCAAAGACAAAAGGAAATGAGAGTATGAAGAAGAAGAAGAACCCATTCATGCAACCACCAAAGAAGCAAATCAAGCTAGGGAGTAGTAGCTCCAATGCAAGAGCAGCAATACCAACTTCACCACATTCCATTGATGCAAATCAAGAACATGTGGAGAGTCCAACAAGAGGAGAAGATGATTCACTACAAGAATTCAGTGAATTAGCTGCGGACCGGCGAAGGCATTTCCGTAGCCATCGCCATTAGCTACGTAAACAGCGAAAGATGGCGACAAAACAAAAAATGTTACTTTCGTAGCCAAATTTGTGGCAAATCTGTAGCAATCCGTAGCTATATAGCTACGTACGGGTTCTGTTGACATTCTGTAGCTAAATAGCTACACACTGGCTAGAGATAAATTGTTGCTGTTAGTTTTTTTATTAGCGACAGATAGCTATAAATATATGTGTTGCGGAATGGCAACAGCGTTTGTACCTCACCAGTCCGTTGCGTGGTAACATAAAGTCTTAAACAGATTTTTATGCTCAGAACAGAAAGGACTAAATGTGACGAGGGTCTATTATGCTCAGAAGAGGAAAAACACAATCAAGGTCGACTGAAATACAATATAGGTTTCTATTGGTTGAAGAATATATAGAATGATTTATGTGTCTCATGGGTTGTGACTTGTGAGAGAGAAGTCAAGCCATATATGAGAAGGGCCCTTGAGAGTATGAGAAGTCTCCATGTGGGAAACGACCTAGAGATCTATAACGGTTGCATGTCTGGTAAGTCTCTATGGGACATGTTGCAGGTCTGTTTGAGCTAACAACAGATCAAGTAGGACGGGACAACTGTATCGAAGCTCCAAATTGTAACGGAGGAGTTTTTGAGATTGCAAAAAGTGTAGTCACATGGACAATCGTCTAAATGTGACAGGACGAAAAGTGTGATCTTATATGTATGCGGCAAAAGGTGGACCCATATGGATGCGAGAGCTCTTCAAAAAGGAGATGCCAATTGCCATGGTGTAGTAAAAGGTCTCGTTGTATGCTGTTCTGTTTTAGGAGCCTGGTTTTACTTTTCTTGGTTGATACTCTGTTTTGACTATTTGCTCTGTTCCTTCAGAGCTTTTGAATGAAATTCTTTTTTTAACTAAAGAAAAAAGATTATGGATTAGTTTTACACATGCACTAACAAAAAATGATTATGGATTAGTTTTACACAAAAAAACAGATTATTTGAGTTCAATCCTCCACGGTCTGGAACGGAGTGACGTACACATGTTCTTGAAATCATTTTATTTGAGGAGATTTTTAAGTGCTTTCTAATAGGATTTTTGTAAGTTCTTGGGAGCCGCCACTGTACGATGAGAAACTATCTCAAGGATTTTTCTTCTTTGAGTGCATGGAAGAATCTCTCTCTGTTTCTGGTGCGAGGATGTCAAGTTGTAAACAACACATTTATGTCGATGTCTAAAGAAGAAACTTGTTGGCGGAGCGTGTGGATAGTTAGGAACCATGAAGGAGTTGTAATTACTCGTAGTAGAAGAGCCTTTAGTTTTATAGATAGCATAAATGAAGCGAAGGCGTGTGGACATCTTTGAGCTGTGGAGAGCATGTGTATTCTATGTGTGGAATGAGTTGTTTTTGCAACAGATGCCTCTGAGCTAGTAGGAACGATCACTCACCGACCGGCTCGGCCAGTTTTCCAGGAACCATCTTTGGAGATGATATTAACAGTTTGCAAGGAAGTAGTGTACATATGTGACTAGTGGAGTCGCCTGGTTCGAACAATGTGCATGGCTTATAGCAAGAAGAACGGTGGAGGATAGATTTCCATCAAATGTGGCGACTTAAGATCCTGCTAGGCTGAAAGACGTCTGTGTAAACGGTTCTCTGTTTTTTGGTTTGGAGATTTTGTCGTTGTGGCTCTGTTTTGTGTACTCTGTTTTTGTTCTCTATTTGTTGGAGAAGACTCTCTGTTCTTTGTTCCTTTCACTTCTAATAAGAGCTGAATGTTAGAAAAAACAAAAAAGATACAATTATGTTATGTTGGTGTACGTTCAATCACTTTGGTTCCCTATGAAATCTTTAAATTACTTATTTTATGTCAGCTTGTTAGATTTGCATTGAACGTAAATATTAACTATGGTACCGATTGTCAGTTTATATAATGAGATTAACAACTCAATCTCATCTCACATTTCTCATCCCGAACATATTTGTTATATGTTTCACCTCAAAACTAGTTCACAATTCTAACCTTGCTTAAAAAAGAAAACAGTTCACAAGACAATTCTCGATGGTCACAGTAAAAAATAAACATGCGGGCACGTACAAGGCCAACTCTCGACGGTCGGGAAAGGATCAAGACGTAATGTAACATGTGCATGTGTTCTTGGTAAATTTCCTAATAATACCTTTTTGCTTTAGTTTTAATTCATATACAGTTTGGCTTGTTGCTTTAGGCTAAATTCATTCAATTTCACTAGTTTACTTAGACTAGTGAATCAATTAATTCAAAAAATTAACTTAAATATGTATCCTCAATGTTTTCTATGGTTTAAATAATTAATTTTTTTCTTTACTAGTTTTCTTTTATGTATGAAAAAACACTACTATTGAAGTTAAACTATGAAACATCAAGCAAGGTTCTAATGCCAAGTCTGAATGATTGTATATTTTTTTAATAACATTGAAGATCACTATGAAACTTCAAGGAAAGATACGTAACTTATATATATATTGGAGTGTAGATTTTTCAAATTATATGAAATTTGAAGTTATAGAATAATGATAACACTTGCATATTTGGTTCCTAGCAAATTCAATAGTTAATAACATTTATTTTTCATATATTTTGTAGCCATATACAAAATTGAATAACACTTTCAATTTTTTGGAAATGTCCGCCGAGTGTTTGGAAACTCTCCGCCAAAACCTTCCCTAAATTTTTCATTTTCCCGCACACTTTTTTGGTCAAAATTTGATTTCTCGTGATTTTTGCAAAACCTAGATCTTCTTTACCTCTCATCCCAATTTGCGGCTCATTCTATTCCTCTCATTTCCAATTCGCGAATGGCAGCTCATTCTTTCTCTCTTCTCCTTCGCGGCTCATTCTTTTCCCTCAACTACTTCCACGAAGAACCCTATAATATCTCAGTTTCTCCCACTCTCTTAATCGACCATTCCTCTTTCATGGCAGAAAATACACAATATCTCATTCTCTCTCTCTCTCTCTCCATTTCTCCTTTTCTCTTTCTCCTAGCCACTAATCTCTAAGGTTAGATTCTTCTGTAAATCTCTAGTTTGAGTTTATTTTTGATGAAATCATGCAATTTTGCTTGGGTATTTGATATTTATTATGTTGAAATTGATTTAGTGTTTAAATCTTCTTTGAATCTCTGCTAATTTGGTGAAGTTATCTCTTCAATTTTCAGTAGTTGATGTTTATACACAGTAATCCGATTAATAGTTAATTTCTTCCTTTAAATCACGAGGTTTTTTTGTGTGGCTAAAACAATGACTTTTCACTACTGAAATCCATTCATTTCATTATATAATTATTTAGTTAAGAAACAATTTGGTATGCACAATACTTTGAGTGATAGTTACCTTCACGTTGGTCTCTAATGTCTTTCAAATCTCTATAACTGCAGTATGCATCGACCACATGAGGCGGACTAACGGCAAGGGGTTACGTTGGACGAGGAGCACGAAGAAACCAGCCGACTCTCCATCCCCAGAAGATAAAGGACGCACTTTGGTAAGTGATTGTTATGTACAATATATAAAATTTAAACTACATTTATCTAGAATTCCTCTTCAGTAACTTAAGATTATGCCTTCTCATGATAGGATCTCCATTGACAATGAGGTCAAAATATGATATTTGAAGTGATTTTACCACTGATTTCTGGTTGATATTAGCACTACAAACTTGAAAAGTCATACGTGGTGGAGATGGTATGCATCAACACTCCAAAATCATACGCCAAGGTATGTGACATGGTGCAAATGATAGTCCCTTAATTTATTATTATCCCTTATGTTTTCTAAATCCCTTGTTGTTTCTTATGCTATTTTCTCCCCATTTGCCTTATTGTCGTTTACTTTTTACAATAAGCAATTCAAACAGATGATGGAGTGTGGTGAGGAGCCCAGCTATCACAGACTTTGTGAGGAAGACGGACATGAAACCCAATGGCACTTTTGCAGACAAACGTGCAAAGAAGATTGTCGAACAAGTTGAGGACATTGTTGTTTCACAACACTTTCACACTGATGGTGAATCTCGTTATCACAAGGATCTGATTAATCTAACTGGAGTTGTCAATCTTATGAGCCAGCAGCTGACGGCTCTATGTGAAGCTATAGTACTGACAGTGGCACCAAGACCTGGTGTCGAGCAGCCACCTAGTCTATCTCAGCAGCTCCACACCCAACTTCTCCAACTGAAGCAGCAGCTACTGATGCCTCTACTGACTCTTCTCCATCCACGCATTCCAACAGCAGCTAGCACAATCTAGATCACATCAGGCACTTCTTCTCGCTAGGGAAAAATGAAGACAAAACAAGCAAGAGTCTTTTGTTTTCAGTTTTCAGGTTAAAGCTTTTGTTTGTTGACTTAGTATGATGTATGCCGCTTTAAGGTTTCTTGTTATAATACATTTAATGTTTTACAGACAATGTATACAGTTTAATTTCTTTATTGAAAACCAAATATTCTCTATTGAACTAATAATCTATATTATCTTAGCTACAGATAACACATATAAACTCTTTAACTATGGCTACAATGACATTGGTTGCTAACTTTGCCACGACTTTAGCCATAGGTATCGTCATCGCTAGATCCAACAATCAGCCACACATATTCTATAACAAAATCTGTGGCTACAATTGGCTACAAACTGGCTAAGGTGAAACTGTCGTTAAAATCTGTAGCTATATAGTCACACAGGTCCTTCGCTAAAGTCGTCACTAAAAAGCAACGGAACAAGCTGTAGCCATATTTGTTGCTATTGGCTACGGTTACTGCTCTTGCCAATCCGTTGCTAGCTGGCAACAAATTAGCCACAGATCAAGAATAGCGTCGACGCTGATGCAACGGAACTCATTTGTCGCCATCTGTGGCTAAACTAATTTTGGCGACAGATTGTGTACCATAGCTACGAAATAATCGGCAGCTAATTGACTGAATTCTTGTAGTGATTGGGCACTTGTAACCTTTGTTGGAGAACAAAATCAAGACCCAAGAAAGTGTAAGAAGGCAATGGAGAAGGTGAACATCGAACCATGTGTGAAGATGGACACCCAAACCCTTGATCTTCTCAAGATAAAAGATGATGTCACATGGTATATAAGGAAGCTAGGCTTGAGCAAGCTCTTCAAGCTAGAGTTTAGTGAGTACTCACAACTCAGTAAGGAGTTCCTCTCCACAGTAGCTCTTGCCTTTCCCAACCACAATGGAGACCAACCAGCTGGTGATGGACTCCTACTCTTCAAGATAGGCGATGCCAATGGGCGCATCTCATCTCAGCTCTATGCCAACTCTTTGGACTTCCCAATGAGACAGCACATGACTTCAAGGAGAACTCAAAGAGGAAACAAGCTGCCTTTGCTGATTGGACACACTTTGCCAATGAACCATTCTTGCCTTCAAGGTCAAAGGTGTCTAGAATCACCCATCCAGCCATTCGCTATGTGCACCGCCTCATCTCCACCACTTTCCAATGCAAACAAGAAGCCAACAAGGTCACAACTGATGAGTTCTACATCCTCACCACACCATTCATCAAGCATGAGTACAAGGCCAACCTTGGTCTTTTACTTGCCAAGACATTTATCAATGTGAGGAAGCTAGCTCAAGACTTGGAAGGCAACAAGAAGCTTTGTGTTCGTTTTGGGAGGCTTATCACGGCCATAGTACTGCATGTGGGGATTGACATTCCCAACTATGAGCCACTACCCAAGCCAACCCCTTTGGATCTCCATGCTCTTCAGCACATCCACTTCCTAAACCGTTGGACTAAAGACCCAACTCGGTTTTGCTATGAGTTTCCAATTGGTCCAGCCAACACTTCCCTTGTCTTGCTGCCACATGAAGACATCCCAAGCCTACGCTCAGGTGTTGTCACTTTCCAGCCCAATGAGGAAGACTTCTATGTTCCATCAAGTGAGAAACCATCATTCCCCATGCTCACCTATCGCACACTTCAGCATGCAGTCAAGACTCAACGCCGCATCCAAGAACGCCATGTTCTCACTACTGGCATGGCTGCGCACCAAGCTCTAGACCGTGTTAACAAGCTGGAGAAGATAGTGGAATGCCAATCTCGCTTCATCTCACGCCTATTTCGTGTGATTCGCCACATTGAGCACCGGAGAGACTCTTTCAGAAGGCCCTTCTTCTCACTGCCACACATAGTCATCTCAAGTGGTACTTAGTGCAATGGACACTTACAAATCTCCATTTTCTATCCCTATCTCATTTTAATGAATTTTTCTTTATTTTTCTTTTACTTTGAATATTACCTCTCACCTTAATGTGATTTGCTTTCACCGGGACGGTGCAAGTTAAGTCTGGGGGAGTTTTATTGTGTTACTAATGCATTTTTCTTTCTTTTCTTATGTTTTATTCACTTTGTTTCATGTTTTTCAAAAAGTTTTATTGAGTCAAAAACCAGTCCGGAAGTTATGAACTTGCTTTGAGAATTGAGAGTGTTATGCTAACAATCCATGACCCTAGAGCAGAAACCAGCTAAAGGCACAAGCCTAACAGAAGCTCTTACAGTGGATCGACATGCTAGCTCAGCAAAATTTCTAAGGTAACCAAGCAATCTAGAGTTAACCTCACCCTTAATCAATCTTAATACTCTTGTCAAGGGGGTTGGCATACATGTCGACAGTTCCTTGCTTGATTTTCAATGAGATTTGTCTAATCTTTAAAGAGTTCTCCTCTCTCTCCCATCCCAAATGGTAAGTAATGTTTATGAGAAAAAGCTCAAAGAGCACAAGGAAAACAAGTAAGCATGAGGAATGCATATGTCTGTACCTTCATGTCTTATGGAATACCTTAGTCAAACAAGGAACAAGCTCACAAGAAGGGTCAATAGAAAAAATAAAATGATACCCTAGAAAAGTAGGGATAAATTGACCTTTCAAAGTTCTGATGTGAGAAAGAGAGAGGAAAAGAACTCATTGCACTTCAAAGACAATCTTGGAGAAGATCAAGTGGGTAAGAACAAGTTCAATTGATCGATGTCCCCTTGATAAAGAATTCACGCTTTAAATTTATGCAAGAGGTTAGCAATAGAGAGTTTGGATTGCTGGATGAGACTAGTTGGGTTGGTATTGTTCGCTAAACTTGCAGGGTGTATGTGAAGCTAACCTTATGTTGTCTATGTTCATAGTGGAATACAGGAAAGGAACCTTTCACAGGATATTCAAAAGAGCAAGGGAGTTCCACGTTTTCAAACCTCTTTCACGGATTTAGATTCTTTTTGCTTGAGGACAAGCAAAGATCTAAGTCTGGGGGAGTTGATATACCTCTATTTTACCTACTTTTTATACTGTTTTAGCATTGTTTTCTAATGGTTTTTGGCAGGTTTTCTATCTAAAAAGGTAGTTTTACTATGTTTATAGTGTCTAGAGTCTAAACAGGTGAAATGATGCATTTTGGAGCAAAACCATAGGATTTGCACTTCAAGCCGCTCCATACACAAGCACCAACTTTAAGAGGGCCCAGAAAAAGATCTACTCAATGGATTTCATCAAGACCAGTTCCCTGCGTGCTCTGATTGAGTTAACTTTCCAACGCAACTGGAACGGCCTAATTTGGATGAGTAGAAAAGGAGTTATAACCAAAAGAGTGAAGACTGTCCAGACGGCTCTATCGAGAAAACAGCGCCCAACCGCGCAGTCCGGCTGGCCGAGAAACTATTGTTTCGCGCTCGGCCAAAGTCACATCCGTCCGACTGAAGTCTCGGCCAAAGTTTGAAACTGACCAACCGATCATCCAACACGACCGTTCCGACTCGGCCCACGACCCGACTGTCCGGCCGATCGTCCCGACCGACCGTGCCAACGCCGCGGTCGACCCGAAGCCAGTTTTGAAGCCCGATTTCATATTTTCAAGGCCCGGCTTAACCCTAAGCCGCCCCAAAAGACCTAGCACTATATATGTAGCTTTTTAGCCTCTTGTGAAAAGAGAGCCGCCTTTCGATTTCCTACTCTAAGTTTTATTGCAATCATGTTTTCTTCATCTCTATGTGTGTTTGCTTTGATCATGTCTGAGTAATCCACTAGTTAGATTGCTAGGGTTACTATTCAATGAGTTGCTTGCATGATCTTTGATTTCGATGATTAGCTAGGGATTATACATGTCGACAGTTCCTTGCTTGATTTTCAATGAGATTTGTCTAAAGAGTTCACCTCTCTCTCCCATCCCAATTGGTAAGCAATATTTATGAGAAAAGCTCAAAGAGCATAAGAAAAACAAGGAAGCATGAGGAATGCATATGTCTGTACCTTCATGTCTTATGGAATACCTAAATCAAACAAGGAACAAGCTAAAGACTTATCCTGTGGTTGAAAGAAAGGTCAATAGAAAAAATAAAATGATACCCTAGAAAAGTAGGGAGAAATTGACCTTTCAAAGTTCTGATGTGAGAAAGAGAGAGGAAAGGAACTCATTGCACCTCAAAGACAATCTCGGAGAAGATCAAGTGGGTAAGAACAAGTTCAATTGATCGATTTTCCCTTGATAAAGAACTCACGCTTTAAATTTCTGCAAGAGGTTAACAATAGAGAGTTTGGATTGCTGGATGAGACTAGTTGGGTTTGATGCGATCATGGACAAGGAGGTTCAGGAAACACAGCTTTTGGCCGAGGAAGGAGATGGAATGGAGCAGCTTGTAGCTGAGGAGGACTTGAAGCAGAGCAGCTTGTACCTGAGGAGAGTTTAGCCATTCCAACTGGCCCAATCACTCGTTCAAGAACTAAGGCACTAAACCAAGCAATTGGCAAAGTCCTTAGCGCCTTGAACCAACAAGAAACCAAGCCAACTACTCTGGTTTGCTTGAAGGCCTTAACAATGGGATAAAGAGACAAGTGTGCTTGGTGTGCTCTTTTTCCCTTGTCAAGTTTTTGTCCCTATGGGTTTTTCTTGACAAGGTTTTTAACGAGGCCCATTGCACACTTCCAAATCCTCTCTTTTCTCATTTGTGAAGGTCCGGCCCAAGTATTTCAAAGGAGAGCGCCAAGACAACCTTCTTTACTCAGTCTTTGTTTCATTTATGTTTTGTGAATTTTCGAGATGTTTTGGAGCTTGTTCCAACATCTCTCTCTCTCTCTTTCTCTCTCGTTTTCTTTAAAACCCTAGTCTGTCTCTCTTTGAAGTTATCAATCAATCTATTATCAAAACCTCTCTTTTTGTTTGATCATTCTGTCCACTTGTTGTGCGTAATATCAACTAAGTCCACAGAATTTCCTTTCACTTGTTGTGTGTAATATCAACAAGTCGAAGGTGGTGTTAGAGTTCCAATTCCGCGGGTTCTCTAGTATAGCCACTCGATCCATTCATCATTCTCATTCAACTCTCATCCATCATTGGATCCTTTGTGTTCCAATCCGCTCAAACACTTAGCTTTCAAGCCGATCTAGTCCAGGGGCGTATCAGTTGGTATCAGAGCTCCTTAAAGCTAAGTGATCTCGATTTTTATGTTTATGACTGTTCATCTTCTAAATCTGAGAATCGTAGATCTTGAATATGATTTTGCTTTGTTGTTGTGCCGTTGATCATTTCATTGTTTCCATTGTCATATCCTTCACATCCAATGCTTGTTTACTCATCAAGGTTACTTTTCGATCATTTTGAAATCATTTGTTCATCATCCATCACTTGTTTCATCATCATTTGATCATCATCGCCCATCACTGCATTTTTAATTTATTCCATAATTTTAATAATTTTGTCACAATTTATTCTGATCATTTTCATATAGATCTATCATCTCTGAGTGGTTGCATAATTTTTAAAATTGTTTCTATGATTTTTAAAATTGTTGCAACAATTTTCCTTTGAACTTTTGACTGCCGCTTTGTTTAAATTTCAGGTACTATGGCGTCGAAAAGGAAGAAGGATCAAGCGGTGTTGGAGAGGCCTTGCTAGATCAGATCAAGAAGATGATGGCAGAGGAGTTTGATCGGAGAGATCAGATCAAACAGGCAAAAGGAAGGAGACTAGGAATCCGATACATATCTGATGGAGACAAGAGGAACGATCCCATGGCATCTCATGGTCTCGGTGACGATCAGGCTCATGTCTACTACGGCAGCGGTCATTCCTCTCACTCAAGCCGGCGCCGATCTAGAAGGCCGCGAGATGAGCCAGACCGTATGGTTGGAAAACTTGGGCGGTTACAAAATGAAGATTCCACCGTTCCATGGCCGGAACAATCCAGACGAGTACATGGACTTGGGAAAAGAAGTGCGAGTTCAATTTCAACTTGCACAACATCATTGGAGACAACCGTGTCAAGCTAGCCGTCTCGGAGTTCAACGATTATGCGTTGAGATGGTGGGAACAAATCATTTTGGCTCGCGAGATTGGTGGTGCCTTTGAGGTTACCACTTGGGAAGAAATGAAGCGCATCATGAGGCAGCGATTTGTCCCTGGCCATTACCAACGTGAGCTACACTCCAAGCTCAGGAAGCTTACTCAGGGCTCCAAGTCTGTGGAAGAATATTATCAAGAGATGGAGGTATGCTCTTGCGCGCCAATGTGTTGAAGACCGCGAGGCCACTATGTCTCGATTCCTTGGAGGCTTGAACCGTGAGATACAAGACATCGTGGAGATGCAAAATTTGTGGGTATTGAATCCATGCTCCACAAAGCTGTCTTGGCCGAGACACAATTAAAGAGGAGAAGCTCCACTCGATTCAATTCAGAGCCGCGCAGACCAACCTTTCACCGCGACACCAAGTCCTTCGCGCCCAAGTCAGAAACAAACCTCTGGCTACTAATCAAGACAGGAGCCGGACTGAGCGCACTCCACCAGCCAGAACCCGTGATCTCAAGTGCTTTAGGTGTCAAGGGTTTGGGCATTATGCCTCTGATTGCTTGAACAAGAAAGTGATGATCATCCGCGCCAATGGAGAGATTGAGTCCGAGGAGGATCCAGAACCAGAGAAACCAAGGAGAAGAAGAACCTGAGGAGTATGAAGCTGTGCCTGTCCAAGGCAAACTTGGTAGCAGGCGTGTCTTGAGTACTCAAGTCAAGACTGACAAGGATGAGCAGCGCGAGAACCTCTTTCACACTCGATGCTTAGTCCAAGATAAGGTGTGCAGCTTGATATCGATGGAGGAAGCTGTACCAATGTGGCGAGTGAAACTATGGTTGAAAAGTTGGGCTAACTATCAAGAAGCATCCGCGCCTTATAAGCTTAACTGGCTGAATGAAACTGGAGAGATGGGAGTCAAGAACCAAGTGGTTGTGCCTTGTCCATTGGCAACTACAAGGATGAGATCCTTTGTGACATTCTGCCATGGACGCCGGTCACATCATCTTAGGGCGGCCTTGGCAATCTGATAGGCGTGTGATCCATGATGGATTCACAAACCGCTACACTCTTCTTCATGAGGGCCGTAAAACCACTTTGATTCCTTTGAGTCCACAAGAAGTCTATGAAGATCAGTTACAACTCGCTGGAAAGGAAGTTAAGTCACCTAAGTCTCCTAAGCCAAAGAACTTCCTGGTGAAGCCAAAACAGGTTAAACGTTCCTTGAACTTAAACAAACCTTTTCTCTTATTTATATATAAGGAACACTTGATTGGCTTGACTCACACTCCACCGGAGATTCCGAGTGAACTAGCTCAACTTTTGCAGGACTTTAGCGATGTGTTTCCTGAGGATAGTCCACCAGGCTTGCCTCCTGTCCGAGGTATTGAGCACCAGATTGATTTTGTCCCCGGCTCCACTTTACCAAACAGGCCGGCTTACAGAACCAATCCGGTTGAGACCAAGGAGCTTCAGCGCCAAGTGGATGAACTCATGGAGAAAGGCCACATTAGAGAGAGCATGAGCCCTGTGCTGTTCCTGTTCTTCTTGTTCCTAAGAAGGATGGAAGCTGGAGGATGTGTGTCGACTGCCGCGCCATCAATAACATCACTGTAAAGTATCGACACCCTATTCCTAGACTTGATGACATGCTTAGATGAGTTACATGGCTCTTGCATCTTCTCTAAGATTGATCTTAAGAGTGGTTATCACCAAATCCGGATGAAGGAAGGTGATGAGTGGAAAACCGCCTTTAAAACCAAGCATGGTCTATATGAGTGGCTTGTGATGCCATTTGGCTTGACCAATGCGCCAAGTACTTTCATGCGGTTGATGAATCATGTCTTAGGTCTTTCATTGGTCATTTTGTGGTTGTTTATTTTGATGATATTCTGATCTATAGCAGGACCTTTGATGATCATCTTAAGCATCTTGCCGCGGTCATGAAAGTTCTTAGGGAGGAGAAACTGTTCGCCAACTTTAAGAAATGCACTTTTTGTACAACTAATGTGGTGTTTCTAGGTTTTGTGGTGAGTGCAGATGGCGTACAGGTTGATGAAGAGAAGGTCGCAGCTATCCGGGATTGGCCTAGTCCTAAGACCGTTGGAGAGTCAGAAGCTTTCATGGCTTGGCCGGATTCTATCGGCGGTTTGTTAAGGATTTTAGCACTATAGCCGCGCCAATGACTGAGATTATCAAGAAGGAAGTTGGATTCAAGTGGGAGAAGGCACAGGAGGAAGCATTTCAGACTCTTAAGGATCGACTTACTAATGCACCTGTTCTTATGTTGCCTGACTTTCTTAAAACTTTTGAAATTGAGTGTGATGCCTCAGGAATCGGAATAGGAGCTGTTCTCATGCAAGACAAGAAGCCGATTGCCTACTTCAGTGAGAAACTTGGAGGAGCCACTCTCAATTATCCAACCTATGATAAAGGAGCTCTATGCGCTGGTCCGAGCCTTTGCAAACTTGGCAGCATTACTTATGGCCCAAGGAGTTTGTTATCCATACTGATCATGAATCACTCAAGCACTTCAAAGGCCAACAGAAGCTCAACAAGAGGCATGCTCGCTGGGCCGAGTTCATAGAAACCTTTCCCTATGTGATCAAGTACAAGAAAGGTAAGGACAATGTCGTGGCCGACGCATTGTCTAGACGGTATACACTTCTCTCTACTCTTGATGCCAAACTCTTAGGCTTTGAGCAAATTAAAGAACTATATGCTTCTGATGCTGATTTTTCTGATATTTATCAAGCTTGTTCTAAGTTTGCTTCTGGTCGCTATGTGAGACAGGATGGGTTTCTCTTTTATGAGAACCGCCTTTGTGTGCCTAATTGTTCTTTGAGGGACTTGTTTGTCAGGGAAGCACATGGAGGAGGACTTATGGGACATTTTGGAGTTACCAAGACTATACAGATCATGAGAGATCATTTCCATTGGCCACATATGATTAGAGATGTGGAGCGCATATGTGCTCGCTGCACCACTTGTAAGTTGGCCAAATCCAAGGTCCAACCCCACGGTTTGTATACTCCTCTCCCTATTCCATCACAACCTTGGACTGATGTTTCCATGGACTTTGTTCTTGGTTTACCCAGAACTAGACATGGAAAGGATTCCATTTTGTGATTGTGGATAGATTTTCTAAGATGGCTCATTTTGTTGCATGCAATAAAACTGATGATGCATCTCATGTTGCTGCATTGTTCTTTAAAGATGTCATTAGATTGCATGGCATGCCGCGCACCATTGTTTCTGATCGTGACACTAAGTTCCTTAGTTACTTTTGGAAAACCTTGTGGTCTAAGTTAGGGACTAAGCTTTTATTTTCCACCACTTGTCATCCCCAAACTGATGGTCAAACTGAGGTTGTAAACCGGACTTTAGGAACCTTGTTGCGTGTGCTGCTTAAAAAGAATCTTAAGAATTGGGATGATTGCTTGCCTCATATAGAATTTGCTTATAATCATTCTGTGCATTCAGCATCTAAGTTCTCTCCTTTTGAAATTGTTTATGGGTTTAAACCCCTGTCACCTTTGGATTTAATGCCTCTGCCTTTGAGTGAAAGGTTGAGTACAGATGGACAGAAGAGAGCTGAGATGGTGAAGAAGATACATGAGCAGGCAAAGAAAACATTGAGGAAAAGACAAGGCAGTATGCCAAGAAGGCCAACAAGGGACGGCGCGAATTAATCTTTGAGGCTGGAGATCAAGTTTGGATTCATCTTCGCAAAGAAAGATTCCCAGCCGAGCGCAAGTCCAAGCTATGCCGCGCATTGATGGCCCTTTCACAGTCACCAAGCGAATCAACAACAACTCTTATAGAGTTGATCTCCAAGGTAAGTACAATATCAGTCCTAGTTTTAATGTTGCTGACTTATCTCCTTTTCTTGCAGATGAACCAGATTTGAGGTCAAATCCTTTTCAAGAGGGAGGGGATGATGCGATCATGGACAAGGAGGTTCAGGAAAACAGCTTTTGGCCGAGGAAGGAAGATGGAATGGAGCAGCTTGTAGCCGAGGAGGGACTTGAAGCAGAGCAGCTTGTACCTGAGGAGAGTTTAGCCATTCCAACTGGCCCAATCACTCGTTCAAGAACTAAGGCACTAAACCAAGCAATTGGCAAAGTCCTTAGCGCCTTGAACCAACAAGAAACCAAGCCAACTACTCTGGTTTGCTTGAAGGCCTTAACAATGGGATAAAGAGACAAGTGTGCCTTGGTGTGCTCTTTTTCCCTTGTCAAGTTTTGTCCCTATGGGTTTTCTTGACAAGGTTTTTAACGAGGCCCATTGCACACTTCCAAATCCTCTCTTTTCTCATTTGTGAAGGTCCGGCCCAAGATATTTCAAAGGAGAGCGCCAAGACAACCTTCTTTACTCAGTCTTTGTTTCATTTATGTTTTGTGTTTTCGAGATGTTTTGGAGCTTGTTCCAACATCTCTCTCTCTCTCTCTTCTCTCTCGTTTTCTTTAAAACCCTAGTCTTCTCTCTTTGAAACTTATCAATCAATCTATTATCAAAACCTCTCTTTTTGTTTGATCATTCTGTCCACTTGTTGTGCGTAATATCAACTAAGTCACAGAATTTCCTCTTCACTTGTTGTGTGTAATATCAACAAGTTGGAGGTGGTGTTAGAGATCCAATTCCGCGGGTTCTCTAGTATAGCCACTCGATCCATTCATCATTCTCATTCAACTCTCATCCATCATTGGATCCTTTGTGTTCCAATCCGCTCAAACACTTAGCTTTCAAGCCGATCTAGTCCAGTGGCGTATCAGGGTTGGTATTGTTGCTAAACTTGCAGGGTGTATGTGAAGCTAACCTTATGTTGACTATGTTCTTAGTGGAATACAGGAAAGGAACCTTTCACAGGATTTTCAAAGAAGCAAGAGAGTTCCCACGTTTTTCAAAACCTCTTCACTAGTTTAGATTCTTTTTGCTTGGGGACAAGCAAAGATCTAAGTCTGGGGGAGTTGATATACCTCTATTTTACCTACTTTTTATGCTATTTTACTATGGTTTTCTAATGGTTTTCTAGTGGATTCTTGTGTTAAAAGGTAGTTTTTATGGATTTATAGTGCAAAGAGTCATTTTAGGTAAAAAGGTGCATTATGGAGCAAAACAGGAGATTTGGACTCTAAACCAGTTCAATGCCCCTGCATCAACTTTGGATGGAGCTAGAAAAAGATCTACTCAATGGATTTCATCAAGACCAGTTCCCTGCGTGCTCTGATTGAGTTAACTTTCCAACGCAACTGGAATGGCTTCATTTGGATGAGTAGAAAAGGAGTTATAGCCAAAAGAGTGAAGGCTGCTCCAGACGGCTATATCGAGAATCAGCGCCGAACGCGCAGTCCGGCTGGCCGAGGAACGAATGTTCCGCGCTCGGCCAAAACCGTCCGTCCGACTGAAGTCTCGGCCAAAGTCCAAACCACTCGGCCGATCACGCATCACGACCCGGGAAACAACCCGCGGTCGGCCACGCCACAACCGCGCACGACCAAAGCGCGCGAGCCGGGAAAACGCCTCGCGGCCGCGCAACTCCTCGCGTACCACGGCCGATGCATCCGTCCGAGCCGGGAAACGCCCGCGTCCGGCCGAGAAACCATCGGCCAAATTCCTATCCGTCCGACCACGCCGGCCGACCGTCATAACATCCGGCCCGACCGTTCCGACTCGGCCAAGACCCGACTGTCCGGCCGACCGTCCCGACGACCGTCCGAACGCCGCGGTCGACCCGAAGCCGTTTTTGAAGCCCAATCCGCACAATTCAAGCCCAAAGCCGGCGCCGACCTAGCTAGATTAGGTTTAGCCGCTTCTTATACTTAGAGCATTATAAATACTTCTTTTTAGCCTTGTAACTCAAGAAGGAGAGAGACCACAATCTATTTTACATCTTAATAAAGTTTTGCTTGCTTTTACTTTGTTCTTGCTTGTTACTCTTTCTAGAGAGGATTCGAATCTCTGTTCTTATGAATATGAATTCGTTTCCTTCTCTATGTCTGAGTAGTTTACTTGTTAAGTGATAGGAAGTCAAAGGATAGCATTCATGTATGCTTGATGATTGATCACAATTAGGGTTTTACTTATAATCTCCATCTTTGCTTATACTTAATGCTTGTTGTTAATCTGGCCAATTAGCATATGCCTTTAGGTTGATTTGAGCCTCGACAGTGCTGTATCATTCGCCTGAACTAGTATTTGGTGGGCAATCTCTTTTAGACTGCGACAGTTGATCTACTTGTAGGTTGTGAACAATTGATCTTGATCGAACTAATGCTTGATTTAATCACCTAGGGACATACCAAAAGTTTAGCGACTAGGTAGATTAACAAAGGGGTCGGAGCCTCGACAGTGGAATGATCATACCATAGTGTTTCAAGTTCTAGATTAGCACCTAAGTGCGGTAACCCTAATTGATTGATTTCATGCTTCTTGAATTGCTTATCTCAAGACTATCCTATTGCTTAGCCTTTCTCTCCTATTGAATCCTTACTTTTATTACTTGCATGCTTTACTTTCTCTGCACTCAACCAACTTATACTTTTGCCCTAGCTTGTTCTCAAACTCATAACTTGTAGTGTGCAATCTGGTCCTTGTGTTCGATACCCGTTTACTACTTCTGACCTGTGCACTTGCAGAATCAGGGATAGGAAAGGGGAAGACCTGATCCCGCGATCAGTGTACTCAATAGCCAGTCCTTGTGTTCGATACCCATACTTCTGCGATCTGTGCACTTGCAGAGGTCTAGGAGTTTGGTAAAACCTGATTCCACATCAACCTCCACGGCAGGGTTTGCCAAGATCTAACCGCGGACATTGTGCCACGTCCGTTCCAACCCAACCGCAATCATCCGACCTTTGAAGGGCTGTTGATGTACTTGCATTTTGCATGGTTTTAGTACATCTTTTATGCATCTTTTGCATAGTTTTAGCATCCATTAGCATCATATCTTGTTCATTTTCCCTTCTTGTGCATTCATAGTAGTTTTAGGTTGCATTTGCATACATGTGCATGTTTGGTCCTTGAAATAGGTCTTTTGGAGCACTTTGGAGCATTTGGGACGTGAGGAGCAAGGAAGGACTTGGTGCATGGACGCAGCTCAGCCACACACGCAAAGGACGAAGGAGGGAGTCATCTTGAAGTCAGCTTGACCACCTACTCGACCAGCCGGTCGAGTTCCTCAACTCGACCGGCCAAGATTCAACTCGATCGAGCTGAGAAGTCAACAGTCAAACCCGAAAAATGTTGCTTCCCCCTTGACTTCCCTTTGACCCTAAACCTAATTCCTCTTGTATTTAAAGGCTCTAAGCCACGAAAAACAATCTTTAGCTTATTTTTGTTTTAGCTTTCTTTTAATTCTTGTAATTTACTTTTTGCAACTCTTAAGCCTCTCTTTGTGTTCTTGAGCTTCTTGCCCCTTGAACCTTAGATCTAGATTTATTTACTTTGTATTTGCACTTGCTTATTTCAATAAATGTTCTTTAGTTTCATCTCCTCTTTCATCTAATGTCTATTTCATTGCATTTGATTGAGTTTTCATTTATGTGTAGTAGTTACCTTTAGGGTATAAGATAGGCTAGATTAGAGGATCTTTATGCTTAATCTCTTTTGCTTATGTTCTTAATCTAGAAATCTCTCTCTTTTGGACAAACCTTAAGGCTACCAAGCACAGCTCCTACTGCATAGTCAGACGCATCAATGTGTTGGGGAGCTCATTTCGTCCCGATTGTCTTAGTGATTGTCCACACAGGGATTGATTGTGTTGACTAAGTGGTTCTCTCTGTAACATCAATAACTAAGTGCGCTCGAAAAATGGAGTTTCTGCATATTAAGCTTTCTAATTTATACTTTTTCTGTTTCATAATAAGTGGTCAGTTTAGATAAATGTTGTTACAAATTAAGTATCATTTTCTGATTTTAATGTACTTTTTTCCTATTAGTTTATTTATGTTTCCTATTAGTTCATCTATGTTGCCTCTAATTAGATAAGAAAAATATTAAATACTATAGAATTTCAATAGTCAAACAAGGGTAATATATTGAACATATAACAATTTTTATTAATTTGTATGAAAAGTGTCAAAGTGATATTTTGATATGAAATGGATAGAGTATTTAGCAACAACAACAACAACAAAACTTAATAGAAGCTCGAGAGTCAATAAGTCAGACTAATTGAACTGACGACGTAACAAAAGGAAAAACAAATTGAGACCAAATAAACAAGTGCACATTGATCGAATACATACCCTAATTTTATTTTTCCGCAAGGCATCATAAATTTTTAAAGGGCACAGTAGGCCTGTAGATTAGATAGACCTCTCCCCTTGGTATTTATGTGGGTGAATTTCAAGTAAGCCTCGAAATCAAAAGGCTTATAGAGACGAGGATGTTCATCATCAACTATCTCCTCAGGCGCATTAATGATCACTCCTTCTTTAGGAGGTAAGAACAGTCCAGCCACATACCGATCCTTCTTTCCTGTTATAACCACACGATGAAGTGGAGGAAACACCCCACCATTCAATAGTAACTGCAAAATCCATATTTTATATATGATTAAAGATTTTACATAAAAGCATGAAACCTGAGGAGAACACAATGAAGACTCAATGAAGTTTAATTTTAATTACATGAAGAGAACCCCCGGCCATGACAAGGAAAGAAGTGTCCTGAGATGCCTTGGCTTTGATCCACTCTTCCCCATTTTTGGTTTTGATCTCCAAGCCATCTACTACATTGTTCTGGCAAAGTATGGTGAGGAACTGCCTATCGATATGAGGGTCAAAACCTACCTTCTCCTCTGTATTATCGTCAAGTCCTTTATATTTAAGTAATTGAACCTGGTTCTTTGCTGAGTTGAGATGTTCTTCGATGTATTTCTGGAGCCCGAAACTCTCCAGGATCATTGTCCTCACCTTCACGTTTAGTTCTATTAACCTCTCCGCAAACGACTGAACATTCTTCCTGAAATATATCTCAAATCTTAGTATTTAACAACTGATTCGTTTGTCTTGACATTTTCCAATTATTTATAACTAATACCATAATGCAAACAGACAAAACCAAATATATTTTGTAAATCTTCATCCATTAAGTTCTAGTAAAGGCCTTGAATGTTAGTTTTTAGAGTTATTTTGGTTTTAGTTTTTGAAAAATTCATCTGATTATTCATTCAAGATTTTAGAAAAAATACTTCCTAAAAACTATGAAAATTAGCTTGTAATATTCTCAATGGAAAGCCTGAAAATATTTTTGTATAATGTGAAATAGACTGTATAAGAAAGGAACCTGAAGGTGATGTTGCCTTGAGGCCAAAGCTTGCGAGTCAAGTCATCCACAACCTTAGGATTATCTACACCGTAAAAGCCCACACCTTCGTATAATGACATAGTTGGAATCGTCAAGTAACCTTCGTAAATCAGTTTATCTGATTTTGTGCTCAGTTTTGTCTCCAATGGTAAATCAAAAAGTTCCTCCGAGGCCTCGAACACTGCCTTCCTTAGCTCCGCTGAAGCTCCATCGAACAAGGCCTCAAAACATCCGTATTCTTCTAGGGCTTTTCGGACTCTAGCTCTCACTGAATCCCACTCTGGCGATTCTGGTTTCAGATCTCGGCTGGTGAAGTCAATGATCGGGAGAGAAAGAGGAAGATATCGGGTTTCTGAACTTATCGACATTTTTTTTCTGTTTTTATTTTTTGCTTTTAGAGGAATTAAGAGTGTAGTTTATATATGTGTTCTTTAAAGATTTTGAAGAAGATCAGATTTTGAAGATTCGCTTCGTTATAATATTAGAAGTAAGTCCAAGTGTTCACATGATGAGTTAGGTCTTAAAATATATATATATATATATATATATATATACTATGATTGGTTTGTAACCTTTATTAAATTATCAAAGTGTCTACTCCACTTTCTTATATATGGAAATAAAAATACTCTACGCGAGAAAATAATACGTAGATGTCACTTGTCAGTAAGCTCATGGCTTCCTTATTATAAAAAAGGTCGTAGTGCTAAACTAATCAATGAGGTAATGGGTCGATAATAATGGAGAACAGACCGGACCTGCAATAAAGCACACAAAGCATGTGCTTTAGGCCACGCAATTTAATTACTTAATATAAGGTCCACCTAATTAAATTTTCACTATATTGTGTAGTGGGTGGTTTAAGTAGCTCCCGTAGTAAAAGCACACCGATCTTTGTTTTTTCAGTAAAATTCTGAATTTTTTTGGTAAACTAAAGTTCTGAATTTGAGTCAAGCTTTCGTTTAAGTTGATAGAAAATAAGATCAACAGAAAATGAAAATTTTCCTGAACAATGAAGAAACATAAAAGAAGCCAACAAAACAAAAAGAAGGAAATTCCTTCATTCACACACCAACTCTAGAGGCGAGAGCAAATAGATAGTGTAGCTTGATAAACTAGAAGTGGGATATTGTATTCAAATGACATTGTTATACATTAGGTCGTGAGACCTTATATTTATACGAGCTTAACCTAATTGTCTAATATGGATACAAGAGAATATACACAAAGATATAAGGGCTATATTCCAATATAGCCCAATACCCCCCTTCAAGTTGGAGCATACAAATTGGCTATGCCCAACTTGAGAAGAAAAGCATCAAACTCCTTCTTGCCAAGTGCTTTAGTAAGTATGTCCGCGAGTTGCTCCTTGGTAGTAACTGATGTGAGTCAGGTTTTACCAAACTCTAGACCTCTGCAAGTGCACAGATCGCGGAAGTATGGGTATCGAACACAAGGACTGGCTATTGAGTACACTTTGAAACTATGGATTTTGGATCAAGCTAAAACAAAAGTATGATTGAGGTTGTAATGGTGAACGAACTAGCAAGTAAACGAGGTTGTAAATCAATAAGGAAGAAGCGCTAGGTCAACAGGGGCTAATCGCAGAGAAGCAAGCAATGATCAATGAAACAATGATAGATGAATTGATTAGGGATATTGGGATATTAAGAACCGTCTAGAACACAGATCACGAATATAAAACCATTCCACTTTCGAGGCTCCGGCTCCTTTGTTAATCTACCTAGTCGCTAAACTTTTGGTATGTCCCTAGGTGATTAAATCAAGCATTAGAATGAATAGGTTCTGATACAGTTCACTAGTTATAGTAGATCAACTTTCGCAGTCTAAGAAACCTAGCTTGTCAAAGAATATGTCCGGCGAATGATACAACACTGTCGAGGCTCAAATCAACCTAAGATCGGATTACTAGATGCGCGGTAAAGCAATCAGCATTAGTTAAGTGCACAAGACGAGACAAAGACTCTAATATAATCCCTAGCTAATCATCGAAATCAAAGATCATGCAAGCAACTCATTGATTAGTAACCCTAGCAACCTAACTAGTGGATTACTCAGACATGATCAAAGCAAAACACATAGAGATGAAGAAAACATGATTGCAATAAAACTTAAGTAGGAAAATCGTGATACAAGGGCGGCTCTCTCTCAAGAGGCTAAAAAGTTGTATATATATAGTGCTAGGTCTTCAGAGGCGGCTTAGGGTTAAGCCGGGCCGTGAAAACGTGTGAAACGGGCTTCAAAACGGGCTTCGGGTCGACCGCGGCGTTCGGACGGTCGGTCGGGACGATCGGCCGGCTATCGGGTCGTGGTCGGCTATCGAGTCGGAACGATCGTGGCCGAGATTTTCGCGTTCGGCCGCGTGGTCGGACGGATGAGATTTGGCCGATGATTCTTCGGCCGGACGTGGGACGAGCCTTCCTGGTCGGACGGATGGATCGGCCGCGTACGGAGTTGCGCGGCCGCGAGGCGTTGCTTCCTCGCGCGCGCGGTCGTGCGCGGCTTGTGGTGGCGAGGCGCGGCCGACCGCGGGATGTTGCTTCCCGGGTCGGTACGTGAGCTCGGCCGTGGACTTGGCGGGACGCGATGATGTGCGAGGGACGATCGCGGTACGTTCGTTCCTCGATCGGCCGGTGTGCGCGGTTGGCGCGATGCTCGATAGAGCCGTCTGGACCAGTCTTCACTCTTTTGGTCATAACTCCTTTTCTACTCATCCAAATGAGGCCATTCCAATTGCGTTGGAAAGTTAACTCACTCAGAGCACGCAGGGAACTGGTCTTGATGAAATCCATTGAGTAGATCTTTTTCTGGGCCCTCTTAAAGTTGATGCTTGTGCATGGAGCGGCTTGAAGTGCAAATCCTATGGTTTTGCTCCAAAATGCATCATTTCACCTGTTTAGACTCTAGACACTATAAACAATAAAACTACCTTTTTAGATAGAAAACCTGCCAAAAACCATTAGAAAACAATACTAAAACAGTATAAAAAGCATGTAAAATAGAGGTATATCAACTCCCCCAGACTTAGATCTTTGCTTGTCCCCAAGCAAAAGAATCTAAATCCGTGAAAGAGGTTTGAAAACGTGGAAACTCCCTTGCTCTTTTGAATATCCTGTGAAAGGTTCCTTTCCTGTATTCCACTAAGAACATAGACAACATAAGGTTAGCTTCACATACACCCTGCAAGTTTAGCGAACAATACCAACCCAACTAGTCTCATCCAGCAATCCAAACTCTCTATTGCTAACCTCTTGCATAAATTTAAAGCGTGAGTTCTTTATCAAGGGAACATCGATCAATTGAACTTGTTCTTACCCACTTGATCTTCTCCAAGATTGTCTTTGAAGTGCAATGAGTTCTTTTCCTCTCTCTTTCTCACATCAGAACTTTGAAAGGTCAATTTCTCCCTACTTTTCTAGGGTATCATTTTATTTTTTCTATTGACCCTTCTTTCAACCACAGGATAAGTCTTTAGCTTGTTCCTTGTTTGACTAAGGTATTCCATAAGACATGAAGGTACAGACATATGCATTCCTCATGCTTACTTGTTTTCCTTGTGCTCTTTGAGCTTTTTCTCATAAATATTTCTTACCATTTGGGATGGGAGAGAGAGGAGAACTCTTTAAAGATTAGACAAATCTTATTGAAAATCAAGCAAGGAACTGTCGACATGTATGCCAATCCCCTTGACAAGAGTATTAAGATTGATTAAGGGTGAGGTTAACTCTAGATTGCTTGGTTACCTTAGAAATTTTGCTGAGCTAGCATGTCGATCCACTGTAAGAGCTTCTGTTAGGCTTGTGCCTTTAGCTGGTTTCTGCTCTAGGGTCATGGATTGTTAGCACAACACTCTCAATTCTCAAAGCAAGTTCATAACTTCCGGACTGGTTTTTGACTCAATAAAACTTTTTGAAAAACATGAAACAAAAATAAAACATAAGAAAAGAAAGAAAAATGCATTAGTAACACAATAAAACTCCCCCCAGACTTAACTTGCACCGTCCCGGTGAAAGCAAATCACATTAAGGTGAGAGGTAATATTCAAAGTAAAAGAAAAATAAAGAGAAATTCATTAAAATGAGATAGGGATAGAAAATGGAGATTTGTAAGTGTCCATTGCACTAAGTACCACTTGAGATGACTATGTGTGGCAGTGAGAAGAACTCTCTTCCTCATCTATGGGGTCATCGCCTTCTGAACCAAGCTCTGAGTCTAGTGAGAACTCACCAAGGTCAGGCTCATATGGCTCTCTAGCGGTGGAAGAAGGGCGAAAGAGTCTCTCCGGTGCAATGTGGCGAACTACACGAACTAGGCGTGAGATGAAGCGAGATTGGCACTCCACATCTTCTCCAGCTTGCTCACACGGTCTAGAGCTTGGTTCGCGGCCATGCCAGTAGTGAGAACATGGCGTTCTTGGTGGCGGCGTTGAGTCTTGACTGCATGCTGAAGTGTGCGATATGTGAGGATGGGGAATGATGGTTTCTCACTTGATGGGATGTAGAAGTCTTCCTCCTTGGGATGTAGAAGTCTTCCTCCTTAGGGTTAAGCCGGGCCATAAAAATATGTGAAACGGGCTTCAAAACGGGCTTCGGGTCGACCGCGGCGTTCAGACGGTCGATCGGGACGATCGGCCAGATGATCGGGTCATGGCCGCTCCTAGTACGATCAGAACGGTCGTGGCCGGACGGATTCGTGGTCGGCCGCTGTGGTCGGACGGATGAAGATTGGCCGATGATTTCTCGGCCATGGTACTCGAGACAGGTTGCGCGGCCGCGAAGCTTTGTTTCCCGGGACGCGCGGCATGGTCGTGCGCGGTTGTGGCGTGAGCGGTTGTGGCGTGGCCGACCGCGGGTCTTAGTTTCCCGGGTCGTGATGCGTGATCGGCCGAACGGTTTTGAACTTTGGCCGAGACTTCAGACGGACGGAAGTGATCCTGGCCGAGCGTGAAACAATCGTTTCTCGGCCAGCCGGTCTGCGCGGTTTGGGCGCTGTTCTTCGATAGAGCCGTCTGGACCAGTCTTCACTCTTTTGGTTGTAACTCCTTTTCTACTCATCCAAATGAGGCCATTCCAGTTGCGTTGGAAAGTTAACTCAATCAGAGCACGCAGGGAACTGGTCTTGATGAAATCCATTGAGTAGATCTTTTTCTGGGCCCTCTTAAAGTTGATGCTTGTGCATGGAGCGGCTTGAAGTTCAAATCCTATGGTTTTGCGCCAAAATGCATCATTTCACCTGTTTAGACTCTAGACACTATAAACATAGTAAATCTACATTTTTAGATAGAAAACCTGCCAAAAACCATTAGAAAACAATACTAAAATAGTATAAAAGCATGTAAAATAGAGGTATATCAGATTCTTGTCTTAAAAGGTAGTTTTTATGGATTTATACTGCAAAGAGTCATTATAGGTCAAAATGTGCATTATGGAGCAAAACAGAGGATTTGAACTTCAAACCAGTCCACTGTCACAACATTACATTGGGAGGAGTTAAAAAAAGATCTACTCAATGGATTTTATCAAAACCACTTCTCTGCGTTCTGTGAGTGACTTAACTTTCCAACGCAAGTGGATTGGCATCATTTGAATGAGTAGAAAATGAATTATGATCAAAATAGCAAAGACTGGTCCAGGCGGCTCAATCGAGAAGCCGCGGCCGAACCAAGCGGAACGGCGGCCGAGGAACATCCGTCCTGCGGTCGGCCAACATCCGAACATCATCTGTCCCGCGCTGAACAACGGACGAGCCCATGTACCGATCCGGGAAGCATCGTCCCGCGGTCGGCCAAACCAGAATCACGCAGCCGAAGCCGCGCACGACCGTACCGCGCGAACCGGGAAGCATCGCCTCGCGGCCGTGCGGCACAACTCACGTACCGCGGCCGATCACGCCATCCGACCAGGAAGGCCTCGTCCCATGTCCGACCGAATCCTTCGACCAATATCATTCGTCCGGCCGAACCCGACGAACGAACGCGAAAACTCTCGGCCATGATCGACCCGACCGTGCCGATAGCCGGCCGAACGTCCCGACCGACCGTCCGAACGGTCCGGTCGACCTGAAGTTTTTGAAGCCTGTTTCACACGTTTTGAGCCCAATTACACGACCAACTTACTAGATCTAGGTCTAGCCGCTCTTCCATACTTAAAGCATTATAAATATATCTTTTTAGCCTTGTAACTCAAGAAGGAGAGAGACCACGATTTGCTTTACATCTTTAATAAAGTTTTGAGAATCTTTGTGATTCTTATGGAGTTTTTGACTTTGAGAAGAAGATGATGCTATTTCACTAGCTGGACCAGCACTAGATTGGGCGCAACATGAGCCACTTTCTACAATCGAGTCATGGATCGATTTTAGAGAAGCTTTCTTGAAGAGATTTGCAAGGACCACCTTTCAAATCCAAGTACAACCACTACTCTATCACTGGAGAAGAGCGTGATGAAGAAGAATGGGGAGGCATACACCATCCTGAAGTCATGAATGAAGAGCTAATCAAGCATGTGGAGAGAGAATCCTTTCTACAATTTCTTCAGAATGTGCAAAGGAGCATCTATGCAACTTTGAGCAGCTTTGCATGACTATGGACTTGGAGACAACCCCAAGAAGATACAACTTTTCCAACTATCACTAGCTGGACAAGCCAAAGAATGGGCTAAGTTCAATGCCCAACATGCTTTCAAGACTTGGAATGGATACAAAGGAAGCTTTCCTTACAGATTTGCAAAGGTCCGTTTATGTTCCCCACCACGCCCAAGCTATTCACAACACCATCCATCATCACCAGACATAAACAAGACACCACTTTTCCCAAGGAGAGCTATCAAGCCACGCGCCAAACCAAGATTGAAGTGATGCTTCAAGAGTACTTGAGAAATCAAAGAGAGTACAAAGAAGATGGAGGAGAATCGATTTCATCCATGAGAGCCTTGGAAACAAATCTGAAGTCCTATTCAAGCAAGTGATCAAGCTTGATGAAGACATTAAGAAGTTAAGAGAGGATCATGATCGATCTCTACCCTAGTTAAGCTTGATGTTGCTTCCAAATATCAAGAGTTGCTGAACAAGAGCATGAGAATTGAAGATACTAGCTATGGCAATAGCAAGCACCTTGGATCGATCTACAACCGCCTACAAGCCCTTGAAGGATCATCTCATGCCAATTACAAGAGAGAGAGGAGTCCAACACCCAACCACCCTCCCTTTTATTGCAATGCCATCACAAGAAGAAGCACTACTCAAGTCCATGAGGACAATGAAGAAGAAGAAAGAGAGTATGAGGAACAACTGAATGATGAAGATGAAGAGCAGAGCATCGACATCAATGCTTCCCCAAAACAGAGCATGGATACACCTAGCCCTAGAGACCCTCGTTTCTCACCACCACCAGAAGTCAAGCTTCTACACTTCCAAGATTGGAAGCAATGCAAAGACCATCACCACCTACTGAAGAAGAAGATACTTGGCAGTATGATCCCATTGATCCCAACAAGATAAGCCCCATGAAGCTTAAAGAGTTCAATGCTAAGGTGAAATCACTTCCATTCTATGTCACTTTTGAAGAAGCTTGGGATAAACATGATCTAGTGGAGTTCTTTTTCACAACTAGTGAAAAAAAGAAGAGATACACAACTTTTTCAGAAGGCACGATTTCCCATGCCCCTCATGCAGTCAATCAACCACCATCACCACCCACACCACCACCAAGTGGTATGTCAATTCCATATCAAGAGAGAAGCTTGCTGAGTTCAATCAGTTTGTCCAAACTCTTCCAGCCAGCATGTCTTCCAACAAGCTTGGCGCCACTACCCATTCACCACCTTCTTCCACAACTGCAAGAGAGACACCCAGGACATCAAAGAGCTTTTTGAGAAAGCTAAAGTTCAGCCAACCTTCAAGACCCTCTACAAGATTGAAGACCCAGGTCAATTCTCTATTCCCTGTCAAGTAAATGGTCATTACTTTGATAGAACACTATGCGATTCTGGCTCTTGCATAAACCTCATGCCAACCCAAACCGCCAAACTCCTTGGCATCACACGCTTGCAACCTGCTCAAATTAGTATTGGACTTGCTAACCATACTATAGCCAAGCCAAGAGGAGTTGTTAGTTGATGTTCTTCTAGAGATTGGAGATATCAAGATCCCGGTGGACTTTCATGTCATGAACATCAAAGGAGGATGTGACACACCATTGATACTAGGCCGACCCTTTTTGGCCACTGCTGGAGCTGTCATGGACCTTCCAAACAGGCGAATCCTTAGCCAATGTTGACAAGACAGTCTTTTACAAGACCATACCATTCATCTCACCAAACAAGCTGTCTTACTTCATCACTGCCCAAGGCCGCCCAAGAGAGCCACCAGACCACACTCAAGGTCACAATGAGACAAGAACTAAAAGACTATGTCTCAGGCCGTGCCCTTACCCCATCTCCAACTAAGAGATCCTATCAGTCAAGCTAATGACTCAAAAGAAGCGCTGCATGGGAGGCAACCCATGAAAGGTGTTTTTCTTTACTTTTCTTTTCAATTAGTTTTAGTTAATGTCTAGTTTTGTTTTGAGTTTTGGATACAGGAATCTAAGAACCACACAATGGTAAAGAAGATATACCACAAGAAGAATGTTCATAGTTGGCGCGACTTGATGGCCGAGCAGAACCTCTCCACGCTCGCCCATGTCCTCTCAAGCCGCCCAACACACCATCCCATCTCATTCCATCTGCATCTCACCCATCCCACCTCACCACACTTGCATTCCATACTCACTACCATCATTCCACTGCATTCACCATTCTTCAAGTACACACCAAATCAGGTTACATCTTTCTTTTTACATTCACAACCACTTTATTACCTCTTTCTTTAACTCCCTTAATTGGATTTTCTTTCACCGGGACGGTGCAAGTTAAGTCTGGGGGGATTGTCGGTACTAATGTGTTTGTTCATGGTTGTTTTGATCTTATAATTGGTTTTTCCTAACCCACTTTTTCAAAACTTCTGTTTTATTGAGTCAAAACCAGTCCGGAAAATGAACTTGCTTTGAGATTTGATAGTGTTGTGCTAACAATCTATGACCCTAGAGCAAACATCAGCTGAAGGCACAAGCCTAACAGAAGCTCCTAGAGTGGATCACATGCTAGCTCAGCGAAATTTCTAAGGTAACCAAGCAATCTAGAGTTAACCTCACCCTTAATCAATCTTAATAACTCTTGTCAAGGGGATTGGCATACATGTCGACAGTTCCTTGCTTGATTTTCAATGAGATTTGTCTAAAGAGTTCTCCTCTCTCTCCCATCCCAAATGGTAAGTAATGTTTATGAGAAAAGCTCAAAGAGCACAAGGAAAACAAGTAAGCATGAGGAATGCATATGTCTGTACCTTCATGTCTTATGGAATACCTTATCAAACAAGGAACAAGCTAAAGACTTATCCTGTGGTTGAAAGAAAGGTCAATAGAAAAAATAAAATGATACCCTAGAAAAGTAGGGAGAAATTGACCTTTCAAAGTTCTGATGTGAGAAAGAGAGAGGAAAAGAACTCATTGCACTTCAAAGACAATCTTGGAGAAGATCAAGTGGGTAAGAACAAGTTCAATTGATCGATTTTCCCTTGATAAAGAACTCACGCTTTAAATTTATGCAAGAGGTTAGCAATAGAGAGTTTGGATTGCTGGATGAGACTAGTTGGTTGGTATTGTTCGCTAAACTTGCAGGGTGTATGTGAAGCTAACCTTATGTTGACTATGTTCTTAGTGGAATACAGGAAAGGAACCTTTCACAGGATTTTCAAAGAAGCAAGAGAGTTCCCACGTTTTTCAAAACCTCTTCACTAGTTTAGATTCTTTTGCTTGGGGACAAGCAAAGATCTAAGTCTGGGGGAGTTGATATACCTCTATTTTACATGCTTTTTATGCTATTTTACTATGGTTTTCTAGTGGATTCTTGTCTTAAAAGGTAGTTTTTATGGATTTATACTGCAAAGAGTCATTTTAGGTAAAAAGGTGCATTATGGAGCAAAACAGAGGATTTGGACTTCAAACCAGTCAATGCACAGCATCAACTTTGGATGGAGCTAAAAAAGATCTACTCAATGGATTTCATCAAGACCAGTTCCCTGCGTGCTCTGATTGAGTTAACTTTCCAACGCAAGTGGAATTGGCATCATTTGGATGAGTAGAAAAGGAGTTATGATCAAAATAGAAGACTGGTCCAGACGGCTCTATCGAGAATCGCGCCGAACCAGCGGCGCCGGCCGAGGAACATGTCCGCGCTCGGCCAAATCCGACATCATCCGTCCGCGCTGAACAATGGCCGAGCCCACGTACCGACCCGGGAAGCATCGTCCCGCGGTCGGCCAAACCAGAATCACGCCAGCCGCGCACGACCGTACCGCGCGACCGGGAAGCAACGCCTCGCGGCCGTGCGCACAACTCACGTACCGGCCGATGCGCCGTCCGACCAGGAAGGCCTCGTCCCACGTCCGGCCGAATCCTCGACCAATATCATCCGTCCGCCGAACCCGACGAACGACGCGAAAACTCTCGGCCACGATCGACCGACCGTGCCGATAGCCGACCACGACCCGATAGCCGGCCGACGTCCCGACCGACCGTCCGAACGCCGGTCGACCCGAAGCCGTTTTTGAAGCCCAATCACACGTTTCAAGCCCAAACCGGCGCCGACTAGCTAGATTAGGTCTAGCCGCTCTTCATACTTAGAGCATTATAAATACTTCTTTTTAGCCTTGTAACTCAAGAAGGAGAGAGACCACATTTCTTTACATCTTTAATAAAGTTTTGCTTGCTTTTACTTTGTTCTTGCTTGTTCTCTTTCTAGAGAGGATTCGAATCTCTGTTCTTATGAATATGAATTCGTTTCCTTCTCTATGTCTGAGTAGTTTACTTGTTAAGTGATAGGAAGTCAAAGGATAGCATTCATGTATGCTTGATGATCGATCACAATTAGGGTTTTACTTATAATCTTCTGCTTATACTTAATGCTTGTTGTTAATTGGCAATTGACTTTAGATTTGAGCCTCGAAAGTGCTGTATCATTCGCCTGAACTAGTATTTGGTGGGCAACCTCTTTTAGACTGCGAAAGTTGATTTACTTGTAGGTTGTGAACAATTGAACTTAATCGAACTAATGCTTGATTTAATCACCTAGGGACATACCAAAAGTTTAGCGACTAGGGAGATTAACAAAGGGGTCGGAGCCACGAAAGTGGAAAGATCATACCATAGTGTTTCGAGTTCTAGATGGCACCTAATTGCAATAACCCTAATTGATTGATCCTTGCTTCTTGAATTGCTTATCTTAAGACTATCCTATTGCTTAGCCCTCTCTCCTATTGATTTCAACTTCTTTACTTTTATTACTTGCATGCCTTTACTTTTACTGCACTCAACCAATCTCATACTGTTTGCCCTAGCTCGATCTCAATCTCATAGTTTGTAGTGTGCAATCTGGTCCTCGTGTTCGATACCCGTTTACTACTTCTGACCTGTGCACTTGCAGAATCAGGGATAGGAAAAGGGAAGACCTGATCCCGCGATCAAGTTTTTGGCGCCGTTGCCGGGGACCAATTCGCACCTACAAGCTCTTGCAAGAGAGCTAGTCTAGGGTTCCTTCGATTTCCTTTTTTTTTGTTATTTTTCCTTTTTTCTTTTGATCTCGTTTTTCCTTTTTGTTTTTGAACTTTTTCAGGTTTTCCTAGTTAGATATGGAAAAGGATACACAAGTCCTTGACCCTATAAAGGCGATCCCACTTCGCCACATACCACCTCAAAGAAACCTCTTGGACGAACAAGAGATGTCAAGCCCTCAAGCACCACCACCTTCTTGGGAACCTTATGATAGCCCTAAAAAGTTATCTCCCTTGAAGTCCAAGAAGAACCTTCTTCCCTACCTTGAAGCAGCCGACCTGGAGACGTCTAGCCAAGCCGCATCTTACAGAGAAGAACACCTTCTAGCCACGCAGAAGAGGAGATTGACCCTGAACTGATCGAGTTCGTGAAGAGAGATCAATTCCATGATCTATATTTGGAGTATGCACTGGAGCACATAGATCACTTTGAGAATCTTTGTGATTCTTATGGAGTCTTTGCCTTTGAGAAGAGATGATGCTTTTCTTTAGCTGGACCAGCTCTAGACTGGGCACAACACGAGCCGCTTTTTTCATCGAGTCATGGATCAATTTTAGAGAAGCATTCTTGAAGAGATTTGTAAGGTTGCCACCTTTCAAGTCCAAGCACAACCACTACTCATATCACATAGAAGTGGAGTGTGATGAAGAAGAATGGGGAGGCATACAACCTCATCTTGAGATCATGAATAAAGAACTAATGAAGCATGTGGAGAGAGACCCTTTCCATGATTTCACTTCGGAATGTGCAAAGGAGCATCTATACAACTTTGAGCAACTTTGCAACTACTATGGTCTTGGAGACAACCCCAAGAAGACACAACTGTTCCAACTACCACTAGCTGGGCGAGCTAAGAAATGGGTGAAATTCAATGCCCAACACACCTTCAGAACTTGGAATAGGTACGAGGAAGCTTTCCTTTACAGATTTGCAAGAGGTCCGATCTATGTTCCGCCACCCCGCCCTAGTTATTCACGACACCATCCATCATCACCAGACATAAATCAGACACCTCTTTTTGCTGAGGAGAGTTCACAAGCCACACGCCCAACCAAGGTTGAAGTGATGCTTCAACAGTACTTGAAGGATCAAGATGAGAGTACAAAGAAGATGGAAAGGAGAATCGATTTCATTCATGAGAGTCTTGGAAACAAATTTGAAGTCCTATTCAAGCAAGTGATCAAGCTTGATGAAGACATAAAGAAGCTTAGAGAAGACCACGATCGATCTCTAAACCTTATAAGACTTGATGTTGCTGCTAAATATCAAGAGCTGCTCAACAAAAGCATGAAGATTGAAGATACCAACTATGATAATAGCAAGCACCTTGGATCGATCTACAACCGCTTACAAGCCCTTGAAGGATCATCTTACTCCATGTACAAGAGAGAGAGGAGTCCAACACCCAACCTCCCTCCCTTTCCTTGCAATGCTATCATTAGAAGAGGCAACAATCGCAAAGTGATAGACCCCTGATTGAAGATCGGCACTTTGAAGCAAGTTTGGATGATGGATTGATGGAAAGATGTAATGAAGGGATGATGGAATGAACTTGGATGGATGTGGCGTGATAATGGATAGAGTATGGATGATTGAATGGCTATAACAAGAGATCTGCGGAAGGATCTCTCAACACCAATCTTGTTGACCTCAGTGATATTACACACTAAGAGGTGAACAAGGCTTAGGATTCTCCAGGATATGACACACCTAAAGAACACTAAGAGGATCGCAGGATATTACACACCAACGAAAATTGATCCAAGTTTAAGAGAGATTTTTGATAAAAAGATGGATAACTTTATGAGGGTTTCGTCCAACAATATATAAAGGAAAAGAAGAAGGGAAGATGAAGAGATGAGTCAATGGAACAGGCTCCATGACCATCTCGGAAATCACACAAACATAAATGAGAGTTTGAAAAAAAACAAAAGGAGACCCTTCATATGCCTTAGGTAACAAATATGTAAATGAGAAGGCTGGGCCGAAATATTGATAAAGGGATGGGTTTGAAAGTGCACTTAGACCTCATTAAAAACCTTCTATGGAAAACCCTGTGGGACAAAACCATAGAAGGGAAAAAGAGCACACTAAGTACACTTGTCCCTTTATCAAGATCCTTGGGCTGCTAAACAAACCAATGTGGTTTGGATAACCTCATTTCCGCTCTGGCACAAGTGGCTAAGTATTCTTCCAATTTCTTGGTTGAACAGCTTAGTTCGTGACCTAGTGATTGATCCGGTTGGCATCGCCAATGCTTCCTCTGGTTCAAGCTGTTCCTCAGCTACAAGATGCTCATGCAACTCCTAGTCCTTGTTAATAGCATCCTCGGCCATGATCATATCACAAAGACCCCGAAGTAACAACTTCACCTTCGGGTGGTAACTGAAGTCCTTTGCTGATGATGTTTAGCAAGCTCTGCAAACTCAGCAAGCAAAGCAAAAACCCAAAAATCATTAAATAGCAACCCCTCCGACGTTCTGGCCCAACGTTTGGACGCACTCAAAACAGAAACCCGTGGATTGATCACCCACAAAAGACGAGAGCACGCACCTCGCACGACACCAGTCCTTACGGGCGAGCAAGAAAACCGTTACCTTGTCACGCGTATTGGACCGCGTCAAAAGATGTGACCCACCAACTCACCGCACCACAGACCTAACACGCATTGGTGGGTGTCTCGAATGAGAATCGCGATGAAATACGAAAGCTTCGCAGAGCATCACGACACACCAGCGCCGTCAAAACAGAAGCACCTGTTTGACACACTTGAGGCTAGCAAGTCATCTCGGCATAGTAGGCCATCTATCTAGTGATGACTAGATAAACCGACCTACATCACCCAATCAACGACATATTGTTTCTCATTAAAAGACATGGTCTAAAGCTGGATTCTTGCATTGCGCTGTGAAATTATCAACCATATCTAGTTTATTCGTCTCGCTGAAAAGACAATAAATGCAAGCAAGTAACCAAATCCAAAGCATACGGATTAAAACCCTCCCGGGTAATTGTCACAACAAGGCAAATCTCTAAAAAAAAAAGAGAGCTCGAAAGGGAAGAAAACAAAAAGGAAGCCAATCCCGATCCCATCTTGCCTCCTACTTTGAACGATGTCGCGGCGGAGACCCCGGAAGCGCCAGCTCAGCAAGGGTGGGCCTGAAAGTTCGATATATCGACCCATATTGATCAACATTCCGCGGAGTAACCCACATATTGTCAAAGCAAAAATCAACAAGAAGAAAACGGAGATCTAACCTCAAAGGCGGAGCATAGTCATTAGCACCAATCTCGTCGTCCTCAACCAAATCCCCAACAGCCTTGCTCTCTCTCAAGCGAGCCTCAAGCATCTTTTCCACTGCATCGAAATCTTGCTCGACTCCCTTGATTTTCCTCACATAGGAAATAAGAGCATCATCAACATGGATCTTAACCACCGCCTTCTCCACCACATCTCGCTGGCCAACATATTTGTCTATACGATCCAACCTCGGAGTATACCAGTCATGCATCGATTCATTTACCTGAGCGGCTGTCAATTCGGCCCACTTCTTTCGGGATTTATGAAGACGCGTCGTCTCGCCAGATGAACTCTCCGCATCACGACGAACCTTTTCCTCCTCCGTGACCTTGCTCCGCAGCTGGTCGTTCTCAATTTTCAGGTCAGAAATCTTCACGACTTCACCTTTAAGAGCCTCAACTTTCTTTTCAAGAGCACCCTTATCCTCCTGGAGTCTGGCCACGGCCGCATCATCACCAACGTTGTCGGACAAGTCAGCTCTCATCTGATCAACCTCGTTTCGAGTACCTTTGAGGGCCTAATCGTAAAGTTGAATCAGTGCGGCAAATTTTCCCCCAACTCTGACATGACTACCAGAAGCCTCGTCAAAAGCTCCTTTAAATTCGAGCTCCGTGCGCGGAACCCCCCAGCGCGGGTTAGGTTTGCAGCCCCAAACCATCTCGCCACCAAACTTGGGCCAGTCCCTTTCCCAAAATTGAGTGATCTTACTGTCAAGGAAGCAGATCCTATCATTTTTAAACAACTCTGGTCGCGTTGCTAGGCGTTGAGTCATCATGGTGGCCCAGGACTTCATATGCTGCAATGGAAACAAAGAATTCGAGTATGAGGACTAAATATGAAGTCTATGTCATAAGTCTAACAGTGAAGTCTACTTGTGAAGTATATTTACGAAGTCTAACAATCAGAACGTACGCTATCCGATAGCCATTGAAACCCCGTGAGCAAAGTAAACCACCAGTGCCATTCCGGGTAATCGAACTTGTCCGGCTCTTTAGCCTGTAGAATAACCCCTGAAACATTGGTAAATTCTCGTAAGCCTCTATAATTTGGTCAAACAACGAAGAGACAAAAGAGTTTAGAGGCTCACGGTAATCCGGAGACGAATGCCCGCATTGGTGTTATCCTTTCCTCGAGAGGTCGAGCAAATGGATTATACCCTAGAGGTTCATTGCCACCGGTTGCTTTCTTACCAGGTGCTTTCTTAGGTTCAGGTGCTTTCTTCGGAGGAGGTGCTTTCTTCGGAGGAGGTAATTTTTTCGGAGGATCGGCTTTCTTGGAGGATCTGCTTTCTTCGGATCTGCTCTTCTTCGGATTAGCTGCTTTCCTCGGTTTAGAGATGATCTTAAGTGATTTCGGTGGGGAATTGGGTATCTCCGGGGGGTTGTTTAGGATGATCCTTCTAGCGGTGCTGTTTCCTTGGAACTCACCTTTCTGAGTAAACGCCAGCTTCCTTACTCTCTCACTTTTCCCTCTTGCCATAACATTAGCCGCCTTGATCTGCTCTTCTGTTGCCTTTTCTCTTCGGCTTCCTCAGAATCAGTTGGAATATGTGTCCGGAGCCAAGTGCAATCCGTATCTTCCTGTTAACATTGCTCAAACACAAGAGAGATAGAGAGAGACAAAACAGATAATGAGTCACTAGAAATTTGAACTTTTATTTAAACAGGAGGGAAAGTGTACAACGCAACGCAACACACTACAAACAGAAACATACACACATCACTTGTTCTTTTTCACAGCGAACCCTATGACTCCTACGCACATATCTCTTTTCAACTACTTTATCAGATTTTTAGATCTACGTGGAGAATGAACGGTACTAACCGTTCCACCAGGCGGAGCCGTCTTCCCTTCACCGGCATCGGACTTATCCGGCTCCTCATCGGACTTCTCCTCATTCTTCTTCTCCAGCTCCTCATTCTTCTTCTCCAGCTCTTCATTGGCCTTCGCAGAATCCTCATTGGACTTCACAGTATCCTCACTGGACTTCACAGAATCCTGAGCCTGAGGATGCGAAAGCTTCTTGACAATCCTCCCTACCACAGCGACTTGAGCGGTGAGGACCTGAATCTTTTCCTGGGTCTTACTCATCTCCTCGAAGTGTTTTTTGGTGAAGTCTTTAAAAAGCTCCTCAATCTTCGCCTCAAGACCTTTCCAGCCAGCACCAGAGGCCTCCGCAGGTGAACCATCTGAGGTCCGAGCTCTTTTGACACTTATCGCTTCATCATCATCAGCCTCATCAGAGAGACTCCTCTTGCCATGAGACTTCTCTGACTTCACAGGCTTCTCACTTCAACTTCACCTTCTTAACCACCAATATCCCTTCTCTAACCCAGTCAGCTGGTTTCCAGACCCATCCTCCACCAAATTCCCCAAGCAAGGCCTTGATGATGTTGTCCACCTTCTCGTCATCTACATCCTTGTCCCAACGTGGGTACACGTCTGCCTTGTCCACCATTACCATGTGATTGAAAAGCACCTGCAAAACCGTTATCAGAAAAGTCAAGAATTTTTGGATATGATTAATATGCGGAGAGTACAAGGCAAATGAATTACCTGCTTCTTCATGGTTCCGATAACATATCTCTTCCCTCTGATTCCATTGAATGCTAGCAGCGGTGGCTCAGGATTATTTGGCCTCGGATCACCGTTTTCTTCTCCGAACCTCGGCATAGCATAGTACGCCCACACTTGCACGACTTCAGCAAAGCCTTCGAGGCCGAATGGCTTGGACACGTCTGCATTCTTTATGGACTTGATGAGGGTCTTGAAAGCTACTCGCCCCCAGGGATAGTTTTCAAACTTCTCCAAGTCCATAAGGTGTGGTCTGGCCGGCGACGCAAGACTCGTGCTCGAGAGTGGCAAGGAAAAGGCAAGTCGCCTTCCGGTAAGCCTCGTGCTGCTGGAACATGACTCGGTGGATCCCTAGGTTGTGGAACATCTCGTCGATGTCCTCGTCGATGCGGAGCGTCTGCATCGTGCCTCTGTCGGCATATCGCGTCCCGACGAACTTCATGTCGAGGAGGGTGCGGAGGCGCTGCATCTCGACCGCCGTGACAGTGTCCTCGGGCTCGTCGTCTCCCGGTGTCTCAGGAAATGGTGCGTCCTGCATCGTTGAGTCCTCCACGAAGTCGTCATCGGGCTCGACGACGGGTCTCTTCCCCCGCGCTATCTCCTCTCGGCGGCGTGAGGATCCGGCATCTCCGCGGTTCCTGAAACCCACGAAAGAGAAAACAAGTTAGCTCAGCAATAAACGTTCCAATCCGATCGGTTTAAAAGTACAAACCGAGCGGTTAGGACAGAAACCAAAACCGCATTCGATCGAATTCGTTTGGACCGACAACAAATCCGACCGAATTGAAACAACAATTTAAGAACAACAAAGCTCACGTTGAGCATAGTGCCGACAAATTCGAGTTCTCATTAAGTTCCAGTCACATTAAGAATTATGTCAAAATCTAGTTCGAACCTAGAAACAACACTCGATCAACAGTATATGGGGTTCAAGAACAAACGATAATCGACTCGAAACCGCAAGAGAGAGAGCACTCGATCGAATAGGTTTAAGCGCAATACAACAACACAAGAGAGAAAGCACTCGATCGACCTAACCAAAACAGAATAAGTTTGGGCATACCTGTTTCCTCGTATGGCGTGAATGAAAATTTATGCAATCAAAATCGATCGGTTTCAAGCGTGTGTATTCGATCGGGTGGCTCGGGTTGGTGAAGTGAGAGTGTGGTTGTGAGTGATATGAATCGTTAAAGGAGAGAGAGATGGTGAGGACGAGCGAGATGAGAAGTGGAGTGAGAGATGAGAAGTGGAGTGAGGTTTAATGGTCGTGTGGGTGAGAGAAGGATTTCGGTGGTGTAGTGAAGAAGAAGGAATGAGAGAGATGAAGTGAGGGTGAAACGAGAGAGAGAGATGAAGAAATGGAGTGGGATAAAGAGAGAAGAAGAAGATATGAGTGGTGATGGTGAGTGAGGGAAGTGATTGGTGTGAGAGGGAAGGTGTCGTGAAGAGGAGAGAGTGTGAGGTTGTGTGTTTCAGAAAAAGAAAAGAGAGAAGAGGATAGAAATCGTGTGAATAGGAGGAGAAGGAAAAGAGAGTGAGAGTGTGTGTGGAGGAGAGAGAGAGCCACTTACCTGGTGGGTCCCATCGGTGCGAGCGGGTGGGTCGTCGGTCGGGTCGACCCGACGGGTTTCCTGAATTTTTTTTTTTTTTTTTTTTTTTTTTCAAACAAAGAAAACAAAATTAGCAGGAAATCAAATTGAAAAAGAGTATGTACACTTACCGGTGGGTTGCCTCCCACCAAGCGCTTGGTTTAAGTCACTAGCTTGACTTGAATGCCTCTCAGGCAGGAGATGGATCACTGAGAGGAATAGATTCCCTCTCTGTGATGTCGGTATCAGCAAGGTATGGCTTGAGGCGTTGACCGTTCACCACGAAGTGTCCACCAGACTTGTCCCATAGCTCAAAAGCTCCATATGGTCTGACTTCCTTGATAACGAAGGGCCAGACCACCTTGATTTCAGCTTTCCAGGAAACAACTTCAGCCTGGAGTTAAACAGCAGGACTTGATCTCCTTGGGAAAAGTTCCTTTTCAGGATCTTCTTGTCATGGTAAGCTTTAGTCCGCTCCTTGTAGATCTTCGAACTGTCATAGGCCAGGTGCCTAATCTCGTCAAGCTCGACCAACTGCATGTTCCTCCTCTCTGCCGCAGACTTCATGTCATAGTTCATCTGCTTCACTGCCCACGCAGCCTTGTACTCTAACTCCACAGGCAGGTGACAAGCCTTGCCATAGACCAAGTTGAACGGTGTCGTACCAAGAGGAGTCTTGTAGGCAGTTCGATAGGCCCAGAGTGCATCATCCAACTTTGCAGCCCAGTCCTTCCCAGTCGTGCCTGCAGTCTTCTGAAGGATGTTCTTGATCTCTCTGTTAGATAGCTCGACTTGGCCACTCGTCTGGGGATGATAAGGAGTCGCCACCTTGTGCTTCACCCCGTGCCTCTTCAACATATTATCGAAGGTCCTATTGATGAAATGGGAACCTCCATCACTGATAACAACTCTCGGCACACCAAATCGAGGGAAGATCACCGACTTGAACATCTTCATCACGACCTTTGCATCATTAGTGGGACTGGCCAAAGCCTCTACCCACTTAGATACATAGTCGACAGCCACCAAAATGTACAGGTTTCCATAGGAAGATGGGAAGGGTCCCATGAAGTCAACTCCCCACACGTCGAAAACCTCTACTTCCAGAATGAAGTTCTGTGGCATCTCGTTTCTCTTACTGATGTTCCCCTGTCTCTGGCATACATCACACTTAGACACGAATCTGTGAGCATCTCGGAACATGGTGGGCCACCAGTAGCCAGCTTGCAGCGCCTTGGATACAGTCTTGTACGTCGCGAAGTGTCCAGCATAAGACGAGCTATGACAGTGGAACAAGATCCCAGGTATCTCCTCATCAGCTACACATCTCCTGTAGACTCCATCGGTGCAGTGCTTGTACAGGTATGGCTCATCCCAGAAATAGCGCCGGATGTCTCTCAAGAACTTCTTCTTCTTGTTCCCTACAAAACCAGTAGGTTCATGCTCAGCAGCGAGGTAATTCGCTATCTCTCCGAACCATGGGAAACTGGGGTCAACGGCGTTACAGCTCAAGCACGATCTCCGTCATCCCATTCGATCGATCTCCTTCTGGTGCACTCGATCGAACTCCATCATCTGCGAGCAGGGGCTCGCCGTAGTCGATCACCTCAACAGCGTAGACGTGCTCATCAGGTAAACTGTCGTCTAGAGGGACGTCATCATCGATCTTCATCCTTGACAGGTGATCAGCTACACCATTGTCAATCCCTTTCTTATCCTTGATCTCCAGATCGAACTCCTGAAGCAAAAGAATCCATCTCAAGAGTCTCGGCTTCGCATCCTTCTTCGTCAGCAAGTACTTCAATGCAGCGTGATCAGTGTGGACAATCACCTTCGATCCAACAAGATAGGACCGAAACTTCTCAAATGCAAACACCACCGCCAATAGTTCCTTCTCAGTCGTAGCGTACTTGCACTGAGCTTCATCAAGTGTGCGACTGGCGTAGTAGATCACGTGCAGCTTCTTCTCCTTTCTCTGGCCCAGAACCGCTCCGACAGCATAGTCACTAGCATCTGTCATCACCTCGAACGGAAGGCTCCAGTCAGGAGGTTGGACAATTGGAGCACTCACCAGAGCTCCCTTGATCGTGTGAAAGGCCTCCAAACATGTACTGTCAAAGTCGAACTTGACCTCCTTACACAACAGCAGCGTCAAAGGTCTGGTGATCTTGGAGAAGTCCTTGATGAATCGCCTGTAGAACCCTGCATGCCCCAGAAAGCTGCGGATTCCCTTGACAGAATTAGGCGGCTGTAGACTCATCATCACCTCGATCTTCGCTCTGTCGACCTCGATTCCCTTCTCCGAAATCCTATGTCCCAGCACGATCCCATCTCTCACCATGAAGTGGCATTTCTCCCAGTTCAGCACAAGATGTCTCTCCTCACACCGCTGCAATACCCTGCACAGATTAGACAAACACAGCAAAGGAGCTTCCATAGACAGAAAAGTCGTCCATGAAAACTTCCATTATGTCCTCAATAAGGTCAGTGAAAATAGACATCATGCAGCGCTGGAACGTCGCCGGTGCATTGCACAGTCCAAACGGCATTCTGCGATATGCATAAGTGCCATATGGACATGTGAATGTCGTCTTCTCCTGGTCGTCTGGGTGGATGGGGATCTGAAAGAAACCTGAGTAACCATCTAAAAAGCAGTAGTATGGATGGTTAGCCAATCTCTCAAGCATTTGATCAATAAATGGGAGAGGAAAATGATCTTTGCGAGTTGCAGCATTCAGTTTGCGGTAATCAATGCACATGCGATGACCAGTGACAGTTCTAGTGGGTATCAGCTCGTTCCTATCATTCTTAACAACAGTTATACCACCTTTCTTAGGAACTACATGCACAGGACTGACCCACTTACTATCAGATATAGCATAAATTACACCAGCATCTAGAAGTTTCATTATCTCTTTCTTGACAACATCTTTTAGATTCGGGTTTAACCTCCTCTGATGTTCTACAGAAGTCATCGATTCATCTTCTAGATGTATTCTATGCATGCAAAGATCAGGAGAAATTCCAGGGATGTCATCTAGCGAATACCCTATAGCTTTTCTATACTTCCTAAGCTCACAGAGAAGCAAAGCAAGTTCAACATTGTTCAGCTCAGCATTCACTATCACAGGGTATGTAGAGTTAGGTCCCAGAAATGCATACCTGAGCCCCGCAGGGAGTGTTTTCAGCTCGAGCTTAGGCGCACTCGACTCGCTCCAGGGAGCACTCGATCGATCTTCCTTTTCCTCCAAGCTCATGAACGCCACCAGTCTCTCCATCTTGCCGCTGCGTCCATCATCTTCCCGAAGCCATCGGCTTCCTCATTCAGGAAATCATACTCGCCTTCAGCTTTAGTCAAAGCTACCTCCAGAGGGTCGTCAAGAAGCATCTCCTCACTCACTTCGTCCACCAAGTTTGAGCCATCTTCAATCACATAAGTTTGCCCATCTAACATTGGCTTCTTGAGGAGTTTGTTCATCTCGAACCTCATGACGATATCTCCCAGATGGAGATCAATGATTCCTCCCTTCACGTCAATGATTGCACCAGCTGTGCATAGGAAGTTTCGCCCTAGGATGAGGGATCCTTAGGCTCTTCGTCGAGCTCGAGGACTACAAAGTCTGCTGGAATGAGTGTGTTCCCTATCTGCACATGTAGATCCTCAAGTATACCGACTGGGAACTTGGTCGATCTGTCAGCGAAAACCAAGGAGACTTTCGTGGGTTTGAACTTTGTGTATCCCAGTCGCTTGGCCACAGAATACGGCATCAGGTTCACGCTCGAGCCAAGATCGCAAAGAGAGCATGCGAAGGTCATATGGCCAATCTGCACTGACAAGACAAATCTCCCTGGATCGCTCCTCTTCTTGATCACCTTGTTCTGCAGCACAGCGCTGCACTCCTCCGATACTAGCATGACGTTCTCATCCTCAGCTACTTTCCCAGATATCAGCTCCTTCATGTACTTCTTCAGAGCAGGAATCATCTGAACAGCATCAGACAGAGGCAGCTTCACAGTCAAGTCCTTCAACATCTCCTTACACTTTGCATCCTCCAAGTCTTTTCTGGACTTTTCCGTGGAACAGGGTAAGGCACCTTAGGTGTGTAAGCTCTGGCTGGAGCAGTCTCTGCAGCTGCAGGAGTAGGTAGTCAGCTACGGGTTCCTGAGATGACGAGCGTCATCACCAGCTCGATCGATTCCGCTAGAGGCATCTGATCTCCATCTGATCATCATCGTCCTCATCTCCTCCAAACTCTTGGGAGATAGGTGCATCGTCGTTTTCGTCAACGAAATGAACGGACTTCTGCTGCGCCTTCATCAATAGGTTCACCTTCGCAGTGAGCTCCTCAATCCTCTTCGCGTCAGCGGTGCTTCCTTTGACAGATACAGTGCTCACTGTCCTGTCATACTCAGCGTTCTTGTTGCTCGAGCTCGCTGCAAGATTCTCGATCAGCTGGAATGCACCTTCCTTGGACTTCGTCATGAAATCGCCATTACTGGCTGCGTTCAAAGCATTCCTGTAGTCCCAGTTGACTCCATCGTAGAAGATGCTCAGTATCTGCTCGTCAGAGTATCCGTGATGAGGACACTCTCTTCGGCACTCCTTGTATCTCTCCCATGCTTCACAGAAAGCTTCTCCATCATACTGCTGGAAAGATGCGATCTTCGTCCTTAGAGCTGCATTCTTGGACTTCGTGTAGAAGTGGTCCAGGAAAGCTGCTCTAACTTGGTCCCATGAAGTCAAAGAACCAGGTGGTAGTGACTTCAGCCAGCGAGATGCTTTGTTGGCAAGTGAGAACGGGAATAGCTTGCACTTCAGAAAGTCAGCCGGTACTCCATTCGAACCAGTCGTGCTGCATATCTCCTCAAAGTTCTGGATATGGTCCGCAGGGATCTCAGCAGGAAGTCCATGGAAGATGTGATCCTTGACTAGAGCGATCATGCCGGGCTTGATCTCGAAGTCTTGCCTCTGCACGTTTGGAGGGACAATCGCAGACCGGTTTTGATAGAAAGTGTGCGGATTGTCCTTGTCTCCAATAGCAGGACAAGGTTGATGTTCTCGATCTTGTTGAGCCTTCCGCATCTGCTCGATCTGCTGCTGAAGCTGCTGCAACTGAGCAGCCATGTTCGGGTTGCCGTTATCGCCCATGTCGGCTGGATTCGGCCTTCGTTGTCTGTTTGCTCGTTCTGCTCTTGCAAGTTCTGCGTTGGACAGGATCAAAAACTCTTCGTTGCGGTTGCTCCGTCGAGATCTAGTGATCATGCACCTGAAACATACACAAGAAAAACAAGAGAAAACAAGTTAGTAAATCTTAGACTAAATTTCAAATCAAGAATCAAAGGTAACGAATTGGTCCCCGTCGCAACGGCGCCAAATTTGATAAACTAGAAATAGGTCATTTTCTCTACTGCAAATTATCAGTGATGAAGATTGTAATATAAAGGATTCGAAATCCAGAGGACCAGCGTTACACTGTGAAACTAGGAGATTTAAAACAGAGCTAAGACAAAGATTGATTGGTTTTAGTAGCAGGTAACGAATGTAAACGATGATGTAATTCAATTAAACAGGGACTAGACCAAGGCAATTCGCAGGGATACACAGTTAACAACCGAACAACTATTCAGGGCACAGATGATGAACAGGTCTCGAACTCAAACATGAAAATATGTCAATTCACTTTCGCGATAATGATAACTTTATCTAACAACCTAGATGTCTAAACTGTCGTTTGAATCTAGCAGTTGATGACAAGCAATAAACTCAGGTTCGATAAGTTCACGAATCGCCTCAGCATCAACTTTCGCAGGCTAAGGACGATTCGCTCACCACAGTTCGTTCTAACAACCTATAACACTTTTGATGAACAGGTAATCTAGATCAGTCGAAGTGCAACAATGGTGAAGACAGTATTAAAGCCCTATCTGTATTCAGTCAATTAACACATGAATCCCTTTGAAAAGCCTAGATCTAGCAGGGTGACTACTCAGACATAACGAAACAGCAAACAATGACTGAAACTGAATTCATTGAATCAAATATGAAAAATAGAAAGAACAAGGGTTCAGAAATCTTCTCCAAACTGTGAAAACAAGGTTTGATCTCTTCTCCCTCAGAAACAATGAAAACAGTGTAAACTCTGAAAAACGGCGTAGCCTAAACAATGGCAAAGATAGGTCTAAATAGCTCCGGGGTCGACTTCGGTTCAATCCGGTTCGCTGTGGTTCGATCAAGTCGGTTTGCACCAAGTAGATCGAACGGCTGTGATATCATCTGACCGGGATTGATCGAACGGCTGAGACAGAACGGGATCGATCGAGCTTCGTCGCTCTGCATGGGATCGATCGAGCTACTCCCTTTGCATGGGATCGATCGAGTGGGCATCGAGGAGGTGATCGATCGAGTGGGCAGCACAGGAGGTGAATCGATCGAGTGGGTGATGAAGTGGTGAACCGATCTGTGGCGACTCGATCGAGCTCCTTTGGGCTCCGTTTTGCCTGCTTTCTCCTCCTGTTGGTCCATGTGACCAAAGCTCTCCCTGGAACGTCTTTAGACCTGAAAAGACTCGATAAAGACTAGAAAGACTCGATAAAACTCGTGAAAACAAGTGTTAGAATGCGTCAAATACGCAAGATATCAGAAATGCAAGAGTCTTCACCAACATCTCATCCTCGCCTTAGACAATCATCAATGCCATTGACAGGATTCTCCGTGATCGTCTCCTCTCCGTGCCGACGAGGAGTGCCACTTCGCCTTCTTTACTAGAGGTTTACTTCTCCTTGTTGTAATTTCTCTTGTTCCCTAAGCGCTTGTTTCTTTGTTCTTTTCCTACTATAATAAGTTGCTGTGCAACATCTACTTTGTAATCTTTTGAAAATGGTATAAATCTTCACATTTGCACCCAAAAAAAAAAAAGACATGCCGCTAATTGGTAGTTTATATTATTATATAATAATATAGATAATGTCTCTTGTTGTCACAAAAAATAATATCTTTACTAAATGATAGCAGCTAATTGGGGCCTCTCAGAGCACCTCACAGTTTTCAACCAGAGAATGCCACGTGGCATTTTACATTTTACATCTTTACTAAAAAAAACAAAACAAAGGGAAATAACTTTGAACGAAGCCCAGATAGTTGTGGCCCGTTTGGAGCCCGATACTAACACCAGGTAATTCTTTTCGCCTTCCTCCTTCTCCGCCTTCATTCCCGTTATGTACCGATTCCGATTCCTCTTCTCCGGCTTCATTGCCCTCTGCTTCTTCTTTATTTCGATTTTAATGACCACCACCTTCTCTTCAATGTGGCCTTCTCTACAACCCTATAAATACTGGCAGCGCAGATATCTGTCCGCTCCGAAAATGGCAAAGATCCTCCCAAATTACCGATACTATGGCATCCAAAGCTTAGTCTCCTTCTGCCCAGTCCCAAACCTTCCAATGGATAATCGTGGATTTTTAATCAATCGAACACTATAAATCAGTAGTTGACGATTGAATTCTTAGTTGAATCATCTTCTTTCTGCATATCTTTTCGTCACTTTTCACCGTAGCTTTGTACGAACGTTTCTCCTTAGTGATGACTTTTGGCTAATCTTACTCTCTTTTGTTTTGTTTTGTGTTTCTTCAGGTTCTAAGAGCTTATGCTCTGTTTTATATTCATATTGAGTGACATCTTCTGAGTATTCTAAAGACTGGATCATGTTAAGCTTTTCTTCCTTGCTTTTGTCTCTTGAAGATCAGGAGGCTGTCAAATTTTGCGGATTTCTATGCTTATGTCTTCCCCTATTGTTTAACAGGTAAGATTAGCTTAGCTTCTGCATGAGTTAGTTGCATTTCACAGCTTCGATTTCACATTTTTTTACTGTTTGTGTGACCTTTGTTTACTGTTCAATAATGCAGAGGAAAAATAGACATAGAGACTATATGTCAACTCCTAGACATCGTCATGGGATCTACATTCCGAGTCCAAGTTGACTACTTTGTCGAGTACTTAAAGGTCTGGCATCGCTTAAAAGTCGCATTTCTCTACTCGCAAATCGCAATCTTATCATCCCATGACTGGTTTTGTGTTTTGCTGTTTTTGACACAGATCCAAAACGACTACAAAGTCATAAACATGGATCAATGGATGGGCTTTTTCCGGTTCTGCAATGAGGTATGTGTCCTGATTCTTTTACTTCGCTACTTGGCAGCTTCATCAACTAACTTTCTAGGATTGTTTTATAACATTTAGGCTTTAACTGGTGACCAAGGAATGAGGAGGAATAAGACAATTTCCCTTTATTCCTTAAAAATTACATCATTTATAAGGAATATGTATTCCATATTATTCCTTACCATTCCATATTAATTAGGGAATTATAGTGTTAAAATATTCCTTATAAAATATGAGGAGGAATGAATTCCATATATTTTATTCCTTTTCATTCCATTCATTCTCATTCCTTTTGTTCCTTTACAGGTCACCAGTTAGAGTCTTATAGATAAGTTTCCCGGAGATGACGGAGTACGATCCAGAGCTCGCATGGCCATTGGTTCTCAACAATTTTGTTGAGTGGATTCGCGAAAAACAACCCTGAAAGCTCAACAATCTCCTCAACTCTCAGCTTCAAAGCGTCAAATCCTATACTTGAGTAAGTTATCTTTTTCAGAACACAGTCTAAACTCCAATCCTCTTAGGTCTTGTGCTTTATTCCAGTACTGATAATAAATTATCTGTTTCGGTTTGGTTTGCAGGATCGGTTTGCAGGATCGTTGGGCTCAATAAACAGATTCAAGCGTAATTTTACTTTCAGTTTTCATCTTTCAAACATTGAAAAAATATCAGTTACTCTTTCTTCCTCCTCTCTCTTATGCAATATCTTTCTCAATTCATGCCATAAATCCCTAACATCGCACTATTATGACCAATCTCTCAAGATAGCATTCTCATCTTCCCCACTTTTCTGATTCCAACTACTTTTAATCGGAAAACTCTGTATTTGAAAGATGTGTTAACTCATTTGCACATGTTTTAGTTGTCCGCTTTGTAGCTAAGAATATCTCGACAAAACGCTTAAGGGTTTTGTTATTGTGAAGGGGAGGAGGAGGTGCAATCAAAGGGAGACGATGGGAGTGGTGACTCCGGTGCTAAAATCGTAAAGATTTTTGACTTATATAATGTTGACTCCGGTGTAAATGAACCTGTACGGAATTTATGGTACCATATTAAGATTACTCTTAAAAGTTTGTAGACTTTTTTGTATTGTTATACAGTGGTTCTAAAATTTTGATATCCACAAAGCTTTTTTATACTTTTTATGCATCAACACATGCGCAATATCAGTTATATGGCTTAATATTTGAAGATGAATTCTACAGAAATGAAGGACCAAAACATAGCCAACAGTATAGGAAATCACAGTAAATGAGTTGTACTTTATCAAACGTATTTCTTTCCAAAACAAAATGAAAATATTGGCATAACACAATTTCTCTCATATCAATTATTTTTTCTCAATTTTTTCGGATTCTCCTCAAATCATATCCACTCCCAACCGTCATCAAATCGATTCTCAGTAGCCACTTCTCCATAAAAATTATTCTCATCCACAGAGATTTCAAGCTTATAAGAGAAACAAGGAGAAGGAGAACGAAAAAGGAGGGCGGTGGGAGAGGGAACGAAGCTCTGCATATGATCTGTTTCTCTAACTTATTCACTTGAGGTACATCTCTTCTCTTCTCCCGGCTTATACTCTCAACCCAGAGAACATATATATGTGTGGTTCAAAAGCTAAGACACATGTTGCTTACTCTGATTCAAATATTTAGGTAATTAAATGACTAAGCTATTGTGGCACATTAGAATATTTCGTTCCTTTTTCTTAGATGACACTGATGGTCTAATTCCACATCCAGTCGATTATGTTGAGATACGCATGTGAGAATGACGAGGGGACAATTCTAACGATAATATATTCACGCCGAGAATGTTGTCATCCTCATCGGTCAATGTATATGATGGAAAGTATGAAGCCTTGATTAGGTCTTTCCGCCTCTATTCATATTATTTTGTATATTACGGTTAATGATCCGTCTAATTCTCCATATTAAACTAATGCAAAGGTAAATGTTTTCAGTTGCAGAATGCGAAGAAGATAATGAAATCAATGTTGCAGAAGGCGTATACAATCATCTCAAGCAATCCTGTTGCTGTGATCAGGTCCTTCTCTGATTTTCTCTTCCTTGGTTTTTATTAGGGCCGAAATATTCAGTTTTAAGTGGTTCACTGATTTTCTTGGTACAACTTTAAATCATATTTGAGATACATTTCACAACTAATTATAAGCTAAAACACCATCCAACGTTTCTTATTGTCTCTGAGAAATGATTATCTATTTGTCCATCCTACTAGGTTGCAACGGTTCACATCTTTCACTTATGATAGGTTAAAGAAAATGGTAAAACCAAAACACAAAGTAAAATAGGAAGACAGATAGCTACCCATATTTGTTTCACAAGTTATCTCTTTTATGCTTCGAAACCAATGAGAATGTAAATAATAGTATATATATCATATTTCTTTGCTTTGATGCTTGCAGTGAGATCTATACACGTAAAAAGGAGTTTTATGCTGATTAACAACGAATTGAGTCATGTATTGATGATTTTGTACGGGTAAAGAACCCAACATAAGGTCAAGTAACCATCAAAACACGTTTAAGATTGTATCATCAAACTGTTTAGAACAAAACTATTAAACAAATCATAAACTTTTGTCATCAAAAAGTTTAGAGTTTGGGTATCTTAGTAGATTCAAAGTAGGAAAAGAATAAAATATTTTGCTCTCTAATTCTGTTTACTAATTTGTAAAATCACATAAACATGTATAATGAATTGAATATTCTATTAGACAAATAATATTAACATATTCCTATAAAAACTACCTGTGCGTAGTGCGGGGATTCTCCTAGTATATATATATAATGTATCCTTGTGTAAATTGTGGTATTCACTATTCACTAACGTAAGGGGAACAAATCAAAGTTGACTAGAGAGACCAAATAAACAATGGACACACACATGGGCCACCTGTTCATCTCACATGGCCAGGCACTATAATTCAAACCACCCGGTACTCAATGCCCTATTCTTGCAGCCAAAATATAAAATCTATGCAGCTTTTATGTTATTCAGCATCGCTGTAAACGTGGGAATTATTCAATATTTTCTCATTTTCTAGATAGGTGGTGTTTTTCTTTTTATCAAAATAGATGGTGTTTGTCTTTTCCTTCTTTTATCACGAGTTTATACGAATTTGAAATTTTTTCTTTCCCAAAGAATCTGAAGAAAACTGGATCAGAATCAGTGGCAAACTCTTTCTTGTGGACTTACTTGGTTCATATGAAAAATATGAAAACAACAAATGTTTCAAAGTTTAGTTTTTTTTTCTTTTGTCTTTCTCCCAATATGGGTAACTCAGAGAGGCTTTGATTTAATCAAAAGGCCAAAAATATGTAATTGTACAACGAGACAGTGAGAACAGTTATGATATAGATATTAAGGATATAATTTGTCATATAGATGACTCATGGTCTCATGGACCGAACATCATGATATGTATACATGACATTTTTCTATTAAGAGTTCTCTTTGTAGAAATAGAAAGGAAAACCCCTGAAAAATACACCAACTTAATTAAAGGACTGTTTTCAAAAGTAGTTCACAAATTGAGTCAAATGCAAAAGTAATACTCTTTTTTCTTCCTTCTTTATCCTTACTATATTTGTGATAATAACGAAAATGCCATTACTTTCGTCTTGAAGTCTAACCGTGAAGTCTAACACGCGAAAAAAATGTCCAAAGAAACCTCATCTTCTTCATTTATTCACGAAAATGCCATCACCATCAATTCGTCCAACAACCATTCTCAACCGAAATCAAGCTTTCAATGCACATGTACTCTTCAAACATATATACAAACTCATTATATCATCTCATAAACTTGTATTGGTCAATTTCTTCTCAATTTTCACCCCAAGAATACACATTTTCATCTTTTCAAAGTTTATGTTCTTAGATCTTCCCATTTTTGGTGTGGGAGATCATTATAACGGTTGGGGAAGTTTGCTAAAGCTCTAAATCGAAGTTATAGGCCGTCAACGAAACATAAGATCACGGCAAGGTAAATTTCCGGTAGATCTGAGTGAATCTCATATTTTTGCAGGTCCTTAGACTTCATAGCGAAGTCTAACAAACTAGTTTTGCAATTGATTTTTCAAAAAATTTAGAGAGTAGACTTCATGAAGTCTACCCATATTCCTTTGAAAACAAAAAAATATGGCGTAGGCTTCAGAATGAAGTCTACTCGAAAAATTTAGTTTTGCAATTGACAGAATAAAAACTTTTTATGGGAAATCTATCTGTGAAGTCTGCTTGAATAAAAGACTAGTTTTGCAAACTTTAAGTAGTTTGTTTTATCGTGAAGTCTACCCCTGAAGTCTATTAATGTTGTATTAGGCTTCATTCAAAGTCTAATACTTCATTAGACTTCACGAAGTCTAATAAAGGGTTAGACTTCATTTCGAAGCCTAATTCTTGATAGACTTCACCAAGAAGTCTAATAGTCAACGTTTGTCGGAGTAGACTTCACGATGAAGTCTATTTTCTAAATTCAAAAATTTCAATCAATTGCAAAACTAATCCTATGAAGTCTAATTTTTGTTGTAGACTTCACCGATAGACTTCATTACCTAGTTAGACTTCATTTTGAAGCCTATTCACGATAATGAAGTCTATTTGAAAAGTCAAAGCTTGGTCAATTGCAAAACTAGTCTTTTTTTTTATAGACTTCACGTGTAGACTTCATAAAAAATTGTCATTTGAAAAATTGCAAAACTAGTCTATTAGACTTCACAGGAAGCTATCAAATAGACTTCCTCGTGAAGTCTACTATTTAATGTTTTATTTGAAAACGCTTTTTTGGAATTTTTAAGATTTTCTTGAACAATTAGTTGAGTTAGTCTGATTTAGTTGCTTGTGTGTTAGTTTGACATGCTTATTCGTTGTATATTTCGTGAAAACGGTTTTCTTGTGAAAATTGAATATTAGACAATACTAGGTAGACTTATAGGTGAAGTCTACCACTAAAGTCTATCAATGAAGTCTAATGCGGTTGGTTTTTGTTTACTTGCAGGAAATGGTTTACATTGCATCTGTTTATGGAGAATGGGTGATAAAGGACAATTTGTCTTGGCATTTTGAGGTTGATTATCGGAAAGGAGGTAGAATGTTCTCGTTGAGGGATGGATGTACACATGATGAGCTTATTCAAATGGCTTTAGAGGATTATTCGGTAACCAAGATCGGACACCGTTTGGAAATATCATATCCATTACCAGAAGTGTTCACTCAGCAAACGTGTAATGATTCTCCGCCCATGTTTGTCACAAACGACAGACAAGTCGAAAGCTTGATCGAGCTAAGTAGAAATCATGTGTACGACTTTGTGTCTCTAGCAAAGGGAAGGATGAAGACAACGTAGATGGACCTTTGGATGAAGACTTAGATGAAAATCTGGATGATGAGTTGAAGGAAGAGTTCGATGAAGAGTTGGATGAAGATTGGAGCGCAGAACGAGAAGAAGTGTCTGAAGAGTCGGGTTGTGATGAGGATGATGTAAGGGAAAAAGCTTATGAAGGCGATGATGACACACACGCGGACTACAGTCAGTATGGGAAAATTAAAGATGAAGACGTTGTCATTGATGTTCCTTTCGATGATCCCCGCCTTTTAGGGCGTGGTGTGGGTCATCGTATAGGAATTGATAATTGGGAAGACAATATTTACGAGCACCAGAGCTTTGATACCAAGGCCCAACTTATCTCTGAGTTGCGTTTGACCGCGGTGATGACAAGATTCTCATTCAGGATAGCTGCGTCTACAAGAAAAGTGTTTGTGGCCAAATGCAAAGTCGCTGGATGCAAATGGAGGCTTAGAGCGGCCGTAAAGAACGAACCCTCCACGTTTTGGGTGACAAAGTACGTGAAGTCGCATACATGTTCTGTTTCTGATCGAGTACGTAACCATAAACGTTGTACAACGAAGTATATTGGAAAGCTTTTTCTTGATCGGACAGGGCTCATTGAAGGAATTGTGCCGCAACACATAAGAGACTCTATGAGGAGGATGTTTGGAATGAAGCTCGACTATACGGCTTCATATAGAGCTTTGAAACATGCCCAAGACTTGGTGTGGGGAACAGCTGAAGAAGGATACGCGAATCTGCCTTCTTACTTGCAAAGAATCAAGGATGCAAATCCGGGAACTGTGACTGACCTTGTCTGTGACTCACAGGACGTTTTAAGTACTGCTTTCTATCACTCGCCGGTTCTATATCTGGTTTTCAGTATTTGAGGAGAGTGATTGTGGTTGATGGGACTCATCTTACTGGGAAATACGGAGGAGCTCTACTCGTGGCTGCCGGACAAGACGCCAACTTTCAAATATTCCCGCTAGCTTTCGCAGTGGTCGATGCTGAGGATAGTGAATCATGGGAATGGTTTTTCAACAAGCTTAGAGATTGTTTCAGGCAATTTCCGCCAATGGCGATAGTCTCTGACCGTGCCGCTGCCATAGCTAGAGCCATTGGAATCGTTATGCCCTGGGCATCAAGAGGAATATGCTACTATCACCTCCAAGGTAATATAGTAAAGGACTTCCACGCAAAGGAGATAATGTATATGGTTAAAGGTGCAGCCTACGCCCATACGGTGCCTGAATACGTTACATGGACCTCATAAGAGCTGCGAACCCTGCCCTAGCTACTTACTTAGAGAGCAGATCCGAAGTTATGGTCGAGAGTTCATTTTGAAGGTGATAGATACAATATAAAGACGAGCAACATCGCAGAATCTATTAACTCGGCTGTCAAGAAAGCAAAAGGATTACCTATTCCTCGTCTTTTGGAGTTTATTAGGGAGAAGCTCGGGAGATGGTTTAGCAAGAGGCGGGAGGATGCACTGAGTCTCACAACCAGACACAGCAGAGGTGTTGAGTACATATTGGCCATACGGTCTTACTATGCGGGAAGTATGATCGTAGATCGCATAGACGCTTGGCGCTTTCATGTTAAAGGCGGGAGACGAGATTGTAATGTCGACTTGGAGAATCGAACATGCTCGTGCGGTGTGTATAACGTTGAAAAAATCCCTTGCTCTCATGTTATTGCAGCTGCAGCCGAAGCTAACGTCGACATGTCCTATTACGTATGCGCCACTCATTCGACGCCTTCCTTGTTCTCAACATATGCACATCCGATTTACCCCAAAGAGGGAACTGACTCCCACGTGAAGCCTGTTCGCTGTTTGCCTCCAGGGGAGAGTGTCCCTTCTGGAAGGCCGAAGAAGTCGAGGTGGCAAACTTGGCTAGAGATGTCTAGGAAGAAAAACACAAAACCGAGGAAAACGCATAAGAAGTACAGCTGCTCTAAGTGCAAGGAACCTGGTCATACTCGCCCCAATTGTGTAAGTTTATAAAGCTGTCCCTTCATGCTTTGCATCCACATTGAGAGGAGCTGACATCTTTCATTTTCTGCACTACACAGGTCGCTGAAGACTGACTTGTGATTTTAGTTGTTCGTGAAGTCTGACGAAGTGAAGTCTATCTATGAAGTTTATTTGAGTCTGGCCAATTTGTATGTTTGTGCGTGTTTTAGGTGGATGAAACGGAGAAAAACACTGGTTTTTAGTTTTCGTGAAGTCTGACACAGAAGTCTAATTAAAGTCTATCTATGAAGTTTACTTTGTGGCCAATTTGTATGTTTTGTTCGTGTTTTAGGTGGATGAAACGGAGAAAAACACTGGTTTTTAGTTTTTCGTGAAGTCTGACACAGAAGTCTACTATTAAGTCTACTATTAAGTTTACTTTGCGGCCAATTTGTATGTTTTGTTCGTGTTTTAGGTGGATGAAACGGATAAAAACACTGGTTTTTAGTTTTTCGTGAAGTCTGACACAGAAGTCTATCTATTAAGTCTATCTATTAAGTTTACTTTGCGGCCAATTTGTATGTTTTGTTCGTGTTTTAGGTGGACGAAACGGATAAAAACACTGGTTTTTATTTTTCTTGAAGTCTCACAGTTAAGTCTATCTCTGAAGTGGCCAGGAGGAAAGTTACGAAATTCAATAATAACAAAACAATAGACTTCTGAAATACAATAGACTACCAAGTGCACAATATACCAAAACAATAGACTTCTGAAATGTGAAGGCCGATCAGCGATAGATTACAAAAGAATAATTAGCCTACACCCATCATCGGGTTCTAAAGAGCATTAGTTTACGGGATTACACCTACACCTTTCATAATCTCTCGTCATACAAATCGACATTGTCCCAATCATCTGGGTCCTCGACCGGTCCACGGCAGTTGATCTCATGGTACATATCAGACGCAATCTGCTCCCTAAACATGGTGATGTTTTTCTGACACAACGTCTTCGGAAATGCGGCATATCCGACTGCCAGGCACTCGATGAACTTGAGGACAAACACGCCACAATCTCCAGCCCCCACTTGCTGCGGCACATCCTTACTCGGACGGCTGTGCGTGTACTTCGCATCGAAGTAGACGCATTTGTCCTCAGCCTGAGCCGCGGAGTGCATAAGATTCGGCATCATCACCGCATAGGGTTCCACCAACAAGTCCATTTCCGCATCATCGAGCCAGTCCACCATACTGTCGTAGATGGTAATGTGCCTTTTGGGTATGGAGACATGCAGCGCGACCCAATGCTTATTCTTGATATTCAATGGAATGAATAAATCATCAACATCATAACCCCATCGCTTATTGCTGGGCTGGCTTTTCGGGAGATTACCAAAGTACCAGTCCAGCGAATTAGGAGGCAGCATTTGACATCTCTGAAACCTGGGCCAGTCCCTTTCCCAAAATTGAGTGATATGGCTGTTAAGGAAGCAGATCCTATCATTTTTAAACAACTCTGGTCGCGTTGCTAGGCGGTGAGTCATCATGGTGGCCCAGGACTTCATATGCTGCAATGGAAACAAAGAATTCGACTATGAGGACTAAATATGAAGTCTATGTCATAAGTCTAACAGTGAAGTCTACTTGTGAAGTATATTTACGAAGTCTAACAATCGAGAACGTACGCTATCCGATAGCCATTGAAACCCCGTGAGTAAAGTAAACCACCAGTGCCATTCCGGGTAATCGAACTTGTCCGGCTCCAGCGCTGTAGCTGCAGAATAACCCCTGAAACATTGGTAAATTCTCGTAAGCCTCTATAATTTGGTCAAACAACGAAGAGACAAAAGAGTTTAGGGGCTCACGGTAATCCGGAGACGAATGCCCGCATTGGTGTTATCCTTTCCTCGAGAGGTCGAGCAAATGGATTATACCCTAGAGGTTCATTGCCACCGGTTGCTTTCTTAGGTTCAGGTGCTTTCTTAGGTTCAGGTGCTTTCTTCGGATTAGCTGCTTTCTTCGGAGGAGGTGATTTCTTCGGATCTGCTTTCTTCGGAGCTGCTTTCTTCGCTGCTTTCCTCGGTTTAGAGATGATCTTAAGTGATTTCGGTGGGGAATTGGGTATCTCCGGGGGGTTGTTTAGGATGATCCTTCTAGCGGTGCTGTTTCCTTGGAACTCACCTTTCTGAGTAAACGCCAGCTTCCTTACTCTCTCACTTTTCCCTCTTGCCATAACATTAGCCGCCTTGATCTGCTCTTCCTGTTGCCTTTTCTCTTCGGCTTCCTCAGAATCAGTTGGAATATGTGTCCGGAGCCAAGTGCAATCCGTATCTTCCTGTTAACATTGCTCAAACACAAGAGAGATAGAGAGAGACAAAACAGATAATGAGTCACTAGAAATTTGAACTTTTATTTAAACAGGAGGGAAAGTGTACAACGCAACGCAACACACTACAAACAGAAACATACACACATCACTTGTTCTTTTTCACAGCGACCCTATGACTCCTACGCACATATCTCTTTTCAACTACTTTATCAGAGTTTTTAGATCTACGTGGAGAATGAACGGTACTAACCGTTCCACCAGGCGGAGCCGTCTTCCCTTCACCGGCATCGGACTTATCCGGCTCCTCATCGGACTTCTCCTCATTCTTCTTCTCCAGCTCCTCATTCTTCTTCTCCAGCTCTTCATTGGCCTTCGCAGAATCCTCATTGGACTTCGCAGTATCCTCACTGGACTTCACAGAATCCTGAGCCTGAGGATGCGAAAGCTTCTTGACAATCCTCCCTACCACAGCGACTTGAGCGGTGAGGACCTGAATCTTTTCCTGGGTCTTACTCATCTCCTCGAAGTGTTTTTTGGTGAAGTCTTTAAAAAGCTCCTCAATCTTCGCCTCAAGACCTTTCCAGCCAGCACCAGAGGCCTCCGCAGGTGAACCATCTGAGGTCCGAGCTCTTTTGACACTTATCGCTTCATCATCATCAGCCTCATCAGAGAGACTCCTCTTGCCATGAGACTTCTCTGACTTCACAGACTTCTCAAACTTCACCTTCTTTACTTCACCTTCTTAACCGATATCCCTTCTCTAACCCAGTCAGCTGGTTTCCACACCCATCCTCCACCAAATTCCCCAAGCAAGGCCTTGATGATGTTGTCCACCTTCTCGTCATCTATTTCCTTGTCCCAACGTGGGTACACGTCTGCCTTGTCCACCATTACCATGTGATTGAAAAGCACCTGCAAAACCGTTATCAGAAAAGTCAAGAATTTTGGATATTATGATTAATATGCAGAGAGTACAAGGCAAATGAATTACCTGCTTCTTCATGGTTCCGATAACATATCTCTTCCCTCTGATTCCATTGAATGCTAGCAGCGGTGGCTCAGGATTATTTGGCCTCGGATCACCGTTTTCTTCTCCGAACCTCGGCATAGCATAGTACGCCCACACTTGCACGACTTCAGCAAAGCCTTCGAGGCTGAATGGCTTGGACACGTCTGCTTTCTTTATGGACTTGATGAGGGTCTTGAAAGCTACTCGCCCCCAGGGATAGTTTTCAAACTTCTCCAAGTCCATAACTTGACTAGCCAGTGCTACTCGTGTATGAGTGGAACTTTTGCGAGCATCAATGAAGCCAGCGTATACGGCCAAAAAACCAAGTCTCAGCCTATCCTCTCTGCTCCACTCTCCGGCCCACTGGCACGCTGCTAAGAGTTCGTCAACGCTCGGACCAAGCTTCTCATTCACACCAAGCTTCCGCCAGAACTCTTTCATCTCGTCTGTGTTAACAGTCTCTGGCTTCGTCAGCGCTTCTTTATACTCGCAGTTAAGCCCGGTGATGTGTTCAAACTCGTTCAGAGAAAATCGCACTGGCTGTACACCCACGGCACTCCATATCTCATACTTCTTCTTGCATGCCTTGCATAGTGAGCATAGTCTGTGCCACCTTCGATGCCCAATTAAACTCGAGCTTCGTGAACCTGAAGAGGGGTCCCAGCTTAGAATTCTCAAGCTCATCCCATTCATCTTCAAGTGTGGTGTGCATTTGAGACCACAGTGCAGTGTTCTTGCTATAGTAGACAACACTGCGATCATAATCCGGTTCTTCTCCTTCTGTGAACAACCTCCTAGGAAATGTCACGGCGTCCATACTGAAAACACATTGAAAATATGACAAATTAAAGTCTACTATGACACGGCATAAATAAAGTCTAAATTTTAAGTCTAACTATGATGTCTAACTATACGAAGTCTAATTATGAAGTCTAACTATGAAGTCTAACTATGATGTCTATCAATTCTAAAGGTGAAGTCTGTACTTTAAGTCTGCTCTACTCTAGCCAACCGCCGCTAAAGAGCGGCTAACTAAACCCTAACAATAGACTTTTACCTTATTCTTTGCGGTTATGAGGGCCAGCAACGGCGGCGGATACTACTAAGAAGCGCAACGACGGCGGATACTACTATCCGGCAACGGAGACCTGCCACAGATCTACAATCGATTAGTCCATGGTTTGAAGGGGTAAGCAGAGAGAAAAAAGTGAAAGGGAGATAACTAACCGGCGGTGAGATAATAGGTCGTTCGATTCCACAGCGGCAACACGGACAACGGCAACACGGACAGCGGCAACCAACGGTGGCGGAAGGGTTCAAAAGAAGATTCCACTGTGAGTATAACGACAGTAGAGGGAAACAGACACAAATACGTATATCACTGATATATGAATATGACTTACAGAAGTATACTTCGGAGGAGGAAGGGGAAAAGGCGGCGGCGACGATAGTGGGTCTGTCTTTCTTCTTCGACGGCGACGGTGGGCGGAGAGAACATGCAATCGCCTATCCGACAAAGAGAGAGAACGGAACGGACTTGGGTTTGCGAAAGTGAAATGTGAAAGTGAAACCCTGATTTTGGGTTTCTCACTTTCGATTAGGGCCGGCTAATTTTGGTTAAACCCAATTACAACAAAAATTATAATTTCCTTGACCGGTTCTGTTCAAAAACCGGAATTGATGTACAAAGTCTACTCGTGAAGTCTACAAATTGAACTTTTAATGAGAA